GAAGCTGACAGCAATATGATCGATCTGAGTCCAAGCTTGATTAGCAGAAGGAGGGTGCGCCAGGTAGCGCTACGTTGATGGCTGTGCCGGAAGTTGGTACTGGCTAGAAATAGGTTGTGATCTGCGCGAAGCTGCAGAAGACGGTTCCCATTATCTGGTCTACGATCATGTAAGCCCCACTGACCCAATGACCACCTATTTTTTTTAATTTTTGATTTACAGCTTGATTCCACACCGTATTTTCAGTACAAGTGTGGAATTTTCAGCATGGATATCGGTAGCCCAAATTCAGGCCGACCATAGATATCGGGTGTGCGCCGGCAGGGGATCGAACCCCGGACCATGTGCATGGTCGGCGAGAGTCCTAACCACTGTGCCACCTAGAAGATTCTCCTCTGAGCTTGGACGCCCGATCTGTGCATTCAAGTCCTCAGTTAGCACTAAGATATCCCTCTGACGCGCCTGTTTCAAGGGATTGCTCAGTTGGTAGTAGAACTCATCATTAACTTCATACAGGCTACAATCCGTCCGTGCATAGGCGCAGACAAAAAATAGGCACCGCCTATTTGGCCTGCCACTCCTTACTTTCGTATAACCCTCCAGCCTCAGAGCACATCCTGAATAGCGGTCGCTTACGTGCTCTGAGGCTGGAGGGTTATACGAAAGTAAGGAGTGGCAGGCCAAATAGGCGGTGCCTATTTTTTGTCTGCGCCTATGCACGGACGGATTGTAGCCTGTATGAAGTTAATGATGAGTTCTACTACCAACTGAGCAATCCCTTGAAACAGGCGCGTCAGAGGGATATCTTAGTGCCAACTGAGGACTTGAATGCACAGATCGGGCGTCCAAGCTCAGAGGAGAATCTTCTAGGTGGCACAGTGGTTAGGACTCTCGCCGACCATGCACATGGTCCGGGGTTCGATCCCCTGCCGGCGCACACCCGATATCTATGGTCGGCCTGAATTTGGGCTACCGATATCCATGCTGAAAATTCCACACTTGTACTGAAAATACGGTGTGGAATCAAGCTGTAAATCAAAAATTAAAAAAAATAGGTGGTCATTGGGTCAGTGGGGCTTACATGATCGTAGACCAGATAATGGGAACCGTCTTCTGCAGCTTCGCGCAGATCACAACCTATTTCTAGCCAGTACCAACTTCCGGCACAGCCATCACCGTAGCGCTACCTGGCGCCCTCCTTCTGCTAATCAAGCTTGGACTCAGATCGATCATATTGCTGTCAGTTTCCGGTGGCAAGGATGCGTACAAGACTGCCGCTCCTTCTGGAACACATGTCTAGACTCCGATCATGCGCTAGTGTGTGCCAGGTTAGTCTTGTAATTTGGTGGGTTCATAAACGGTGTCATCTGAATGTTGATGTGAGCAAACTGGTAGTGTGGTGAGAACTGGCTACTAACCAAATCGGTAGATAGTAATTTGCGTCAATGTTAACGTCCTGAATATTGGTCGTGAGAAAAATATGAACAAAGACTGATTGAACAAGCAACCACAGCAGACTTTGCCTAGGTGGATACAGGTAGCATATGGATGAACTGACATTCAAGAAACAGCCACAAAGAGATGCAAGGTTAACTTTCAGTGAGAAACAACCAATCAGAAGACTGTGTTTTTCTGCTAACAATTATCTATAGTAATGTACATGAAAATCTATAAATATGTGTTGATTTGCTTAGTAAACGATCTGTTGCCTGGCCCTTGTCTTCTGTTGTTACAGTAGCACCTGCTACTTCTTTGAAATACCAGAATGAGTTAGAATCAATGCTTGCTAGCAACCCAAAGTAGCATAGGTGAACATTGGCTTCATCTCCAAGGTGCCATGCAAATGGCGAGTGTAGTCGCTTGTAGCCTAAAAGAATGCTCCGCTAAAAACCACAGGGTCTCAGTGAGTTCTTTGCAACTCCTGGGTGAACACCGGTCCATTCCGGCTGGCAGCGAATACAACAATATGCGAAAGGCGCTTACGCGCAAGATTAGGCAGTGTTTACGTAAGGACCGCGAAGTTTGGTGGTCAGAACGTGCGTGTGAGATGGAGTCAGCTGCTACATCTGGCAACAGTCAGAAGCTGCTCCAGCTCATCCGAGCCACCGGCAGCAAGAGATAAGGTGTTGGCGAGACGGTCTGTGAGGCAGATGGCACACCAAATGCCAGCCTGAAAAAACGCCTGGAACGCTGGACAGAGCACTTCGAGAAGCAGTCCAGCTGGCCAACAGCTCCAGTGCTCCTTGATTGGTCAGTACCGATCACCAATCGAGGCGGAGGTCCGGAAGGAACTCCAAGTACGGAAACGCCATAAGGCACCCGGCCCAGACGATCTACGCCCAGCTCTTTTCAAAGATGGTGGCGAGACTCTGGTCACGGCTTTAACTTCATTATACAGGAACGTATGGGAGACTGAGTATGTACCATCAATGTGGAATGAATCCATTATCGTCCCCATCTTCAAAAAGGGTCGACGTAACACATGTTACAACCATATGGTTGTCCTATTGATTCTTATTTTTCTAACTATGAACCCTTTCTCTCAATTCAAACTATCAACTTCATTGTTGTTCTTCGTGGACATATTTTGCGCATTGGCTGAGGTACTGAATTTCCAGTCAATGAGTTCAGTGTTCGAATCCTACTTTATTTACTTTGTACTTAACAACTGAGTAGTAGTCAAGTGTAATCAATTATTGGTCGTCTTGCTGATGTTAGCCTTGTTGGACCATTTATTGCTTAAATACTGTTTTAATCTATAGTGGACAATTTTGAGGTTAAGAAGGGAAAGTGAACCGATAAAGTTATGAGGCGACACTTTGATTGAGATGGGCTAGGGACACGTGTTACGCATACTCTCCTCTTCCACTTTCCTTGACGAGCAATATTAGCTGACATAGGATTAAATTGGAAAAATAGTTAGGGTTGGTCGAGTGAAAAGGGACCTGGCATTATTCCTTGAAGTCTTTTTTAATAGTTGATTTGAATCAACCAACCACATAGGGAGGTGTAAAATGTCCAGTTGACGTCCTTAGTATGCTAAGAATCAATGGCTTGAAACTATTGGTGATAATAGCTCCTCGAAGGTGCCCTCAACCGCACAGATAGTGTATTCACCTTTTTGTTATTTAATCCATATGCCTACCTGATAAAGAAAGATAGATCAGGTGTAATTGTCAACGATCAAATCTCATTACAAAACAAAGACGAGAAAAAAATATGTCATCCATTCTTAAGACAATGAAGGCAAATATTCATAGCCGATGTCCCTTCTGATGATAGATATCAGAAAGATTGAAAGGAAAAGTAACATCGGATTTAGTTAACCTTGTGGCCTGCTGGCTGGCTGGATTCAACATAGAACTTGGCACCGAAGTGCACCAGTTCGAGTTGCCACGTTCCAAAGAGCACACAAAGGTGGACAAGAAAATGAGTGATGAAGAGAATCAATAGACTTTTGACAAGCATAAGAGTGAAACAGAACGAGTAATGGTAGAAAGGAATATGAAAGATTACAGAGACTGAATACATCTGCAATAGCCATTGACAACGATTTTGAGCCATGTCACCTATTGTCTCCAGCCATTGATTCTTAGAGTCCCGAGGATGGGCCCCAACCCGGAAGTGTGCATCTCCCTCCCTACCTGACTCAGTTTAACTGTCAAGGATTTTATGGATTGATGCCATGGTTTTGTTTGGCCACCACTTACTCTTTTCCAACCTGCACCTATATCAGCTAGTAATGCCCGTCCGACGGGGGAGGAGATGTTTAGGCATGCGCAGCACGTCACCTAGCCATCTCAATCTATGTAACTTTATAGCCTCTTCGATTGATTTCCCCCCTTTGCCCAACACTCTATACCTAACGTCAACATTACTTACCTTATTATACCACCTAACGTGAGAAAGAGATCGTAGACATCTATGATCAAAAACAGTCAACCTTTTCATGTCTTCAACTCGTATTGGTCATGTTTCAGAGCCATAGAGAAGGACGGAGCGAACTGTTGAGCAGTACACACGTCCCTTGGTTGATAGTCGGATGTCACGCCTACGCCAGAGATGGTGTAAGTTAGCGAAAGCAGCCCGAGCTTTTTGGATCCGTGCTGAGATTTCGTCGCCAATCAATCCGTTGGTGCTGATACAACTTCCCAAATAGGTGAAGTGGTCAACATGTTCTATCACTTCACTCCGTATCACTAAGCTAGGAGTTGACGTAGTCCAGTCAGTCCTGTAGCAGCATCTTACATTTCACAGGGGGAATCGCATGCCAAACATACGAAGATTGCTGCTCAAGGTGTTCAGAAGACTCTTCTCTATTTTGTCAGCATCCTCCCCTAGCAGGACTATGTCATCTGCATATTCTAAGTTCATAAGACTATTCCCTGGTAACAAGTCGATTTTTAAGTCGTTAAGTTCAGTTAAGGATACTTCCATTAGCATATCTATGATGAAGTTAAACAGAAAATGGGGAAAGTGGACATCCTTAACGGACACCACTGGTTGTTATCAATTCAGATGATTGTTCTGATTGGTAGGCGATTGGCCCAGGACTAAGATCATTCGATCATAATTTGTGTGCGTCAGTGGCACAGCGGTCAGGACTCTCGCCGACCATGCAAATGGTCCGGGGTTCGGTACCCGGCCGACGCACTCCTGATATCAATGGTCGGCCTGCAAAATTTGGGCTACCGATATCACATGCTGAAAATTCCATACTTATACCAAAAATACTGTGTGGAGTCAAGCTATGATAAAATAAAATTTAAAAAATAAAAGAATCACAAGAATCGCAAAATGACTACTATTTTAAGCTGATTTTTCCATCAAGAAGGATAAGAAGAATTCCTATGACTGATAGCTTTGTCAATAAATCTGCTGCTGGTGGTGGGGAATTCCCATTTACTGAGAGTTTTATCTCTTCTAATTTATGCGCTGATCGTCTTTTCGTTACAGTTTATTCACTGTCTCTCCGTCATTTTCTTCTTTGTATGCTCTAGATGATTGATCCTTTACCTGCCATCGATCATTCAATAATAAATTATGCACCATTTGCAAAAAATTTCTATATTGAACATGAAGAAATTAGTCGATTGGATCAAGCCGGTGTCGATGCATTACGCGAGAAGCTTGGTTTACGTGTCAGTGGACCAAGTCCACTTCGACCGGTTTGTTCATTTGCTCATTTAGGTCTTGATGAACCATTGATGGAGGCTATCCGTAAAGCTGGTTACACTCAACCGACACCAATTCAAGCACAAGCTGTCCCTATAGCTATGTCTGGACGTGATGTTATCGGGATTGGAAAGACAGGCAGCGGGAAAACTGCTGCATTCCTTTGGCCACTTATTATACATGTTATGGATCAGGTAAGCGTGAATCTTTTACAAATAGAGTGCAGTAGATTATTTTGATGATATCCTATCTTGATAATATTGTTGTTATTTTACTTCTTTGGGTTCCGGGTGAAACAGATGGCTTCAACAACACTTCTCCATTTCATCCTGGTTGTTGTTAAAGGTTGTTAGCAGGGTAAGCAATGTGCCACTTAACCAGCTTGTTAATACTGTGGTCGACAGGCACATGGACTCACGTGAAAAATGGGCTAAATCCATTTCATCTAACTCACACCACCCTCTTCACTCACAACTCTCCCCTTGCATCTCATCAGGCAAAACCAGAAGCCTATATAGAAAACTATATGCTCGCTCCAGCAAGTACAAAAACTCAACCATACCCTACTTACCTCGTGTTCTGTGCGATAAAGAAAGCATTAGGCGTGATACCTATAATTCATTAAATAGTCAGTAGAACAACTGGATCTCGTCTTTCCAACTCATATCATTATAGGTACAACATTTTCTTTCTTTCTTTTCCTTTTCTCTCTCTCTTTTCTCTTTTTTTCCCGTTATGTGGTGCTTTGTTTCTTTCTTCCGCTTACGCCAGTAAATATGACAGCACCTTCTTTTCTAACACCTTCAAACACTGTTCAGCTTTACCTTTGCTACCGACATGCCGATATGTTGTTGTCATAATGAACTGAGATTCCCTTAATCTATGTAGAATTTTATTTATTGATAATGTACTAACTGGATGCAATACTGTAGTAAAAATGCTGAGAATTCCATTCTGTATCACAAGTGCTGTTTTGGAATAAAGCAAATTATTATTATAATAATTATCCTGTTCTTCACAGTTGCCCATAGTGTCTCAGTTTCTCCACACACACAATCTCCTCCATGTCACCAACTATCCTCCAGTGTCGAACCTGTTGTTTCGCATTCGCGCTCCACTCCAGTAATGGTCTGGCGTGTGATATGCCACTCAGCGTGTGTCCAGTCCTTCTCCATTGCCTTCTACATGTATGCTTAGCGATAGATCCTTGGTTCGATCGTGTTGCCAATCCTATCTAATCTGCAGTATAGAACAAAGTACTGGGCACTTGTTGATCAAAGTCTGCAGCAGGCTGTTTGTGAAGTGATTCTGGTGATGTGCGTGCTAAGACTTTTTTTCCTTCACGTTCCCCAGTGGAACATAGGGCACCTTCAAGCTAGAGGCTTGAAGTTTCTGTAGCATCGTTTATTTTACAGGATGGGGTTTCTAGCCTCATGCCCAACCTTTCCTCTTCACCAGCATTATTTCTGGCTTAGTGAGGTAAAGGAGTGCGTCCGTGGCCGGGTGTCGAACCCCTGACCATGTGCATGGTTGGCGAGCGTCCTAACCGCTATGCCACCGGCGCACGCTAAGACTCTAAACTCTGTATAAAAGCCCTGGCTAACTTGATATTTGTATTGAAAATCCGAATTTCGATCTTTATACTGCAGAGTGAAGGCAGATTTCCACGCTGATTTCAGAGTAATGAAGGACTGTCTCGCCTTTTTGCTACCGTGCCCATTAACATCCTGTCATACTTATGTTATTGTATATAAAACTTTTAACCAATGACGGTGAGTTTGTGGATCAAATAATAATAATAATGATAATGTGGGGAATGTTTTGAACGTCATTAATAACGATGATTTTAATGATAACAAAAGTAATGATAATAAGGTTTATGCAGCAGGTGGGGCGATTACAATGACGAAGGTAATGAAGTGATATGTCTATATGCAGACAATTATATAAATAATTCAATAAATAAATCAGCATAAATTGAAGGGACCTGAAATAAACAACCTCCTCTACCACCTACCTGCCTCGGAAGCATCGTTTCAACTACACGCAGACGGAACTGACGAGGATATCAAAGCAGTGAGGATCATCAGAAAAGCAAGACAAGCTTTCACTACTCTCAAGTCTGTGTGGAGGTCAACAGCACTCAGCATCAAAATGAGAATAACATCCGGATTTTCAACTCCAATGTGAAGTCAGTCAGTGCTACTCACTATACGGATAAGAGACTTGCACTGCGCGTCATAAACAGCATCTCAAACAAACTACACACCTTCATTAACAGTTGTCTTCGCTCAATACTTCACTCAAGATCAGATGGCCAGCCGGCCAGAAAAGTTCAGCAACAGAGATCTCTGGCAATGAGCGAACCAACCCAGCAGGAACCGATTGTGAAACAAATAAGCAGGAAGAAATGGAGGTGGACTGGCTGGCCATACTCTGAGGAAACCAACCATCAAGTGACATCACTAGACAAGACATTGCTCGAGTAGAACCCGAAAGGGAATCGGCGAGTTGGTCTTCAGTGCGAAGATGGAGTGACTTGGAGGAGGTGATGTGAAGAGGAGATGAAGGGGTGTGGGCAGACATGGAGCCAGGTGAAGACTCTATCAGAGAACCGAAGGCAATGGAGACGCACGGCTGAAGCCCTATGTTCCTCTGGGAATTAAAGGAAACAATAATAATAATAATACAAGCAAGTTAACAGCGTGTAAGAGGGTATTTCGAGTAAGAGGTTCGGGTACTGTCTGCTCTTCGCTGTACCAGGGAATTGGGTTTATCAATCAGAAGGAGTTGGAGAGAAATACTGGATGACTGACTAATTTTCAAGAACTATGTATACAAAGGTGGAGAGAAAAAGAGGTGAAGTGGATGAATTACAAGCCTTTTGATAGATTATTAAATAAGTGAATTCGTATTAAGATTTTAAAAATCAGTTGTTCAAGTGTTGTCTGGCAAAATTAACAGTACAACGATGGTAACCAGTAAAGATGGCGAAGATGAAGTGAAGAAGTGGAATGACGAAATCAAGTGACAAAGTAGAATAAAATGTTTAAAAAATAACAATATTACCGTGACCAAGATAAAGAAACGGGTTAAACGAAACTATTTTGAACACTATTTTGAACATAATTTAGGTTTCTCTCCATGTATAGTTAGAGCTTCAATGATATTAAATGGTTGGAGGCAATCGGCCAAAGGAAACCTTGAACCCAGATTTCTTTCTAGTTGGCACGAGTTGGCTCGCTAGGCGTATCTGCAATCCTAGTAACTAGTGTAATTAATGTGTCTAGTCCTTTCTTTGGTGCAGACTTAACTCTATCAGATACGCCTTGCTCACCGGTGAGTGCCAACTAGCACGAAACCAAGGTTGAGCAAGGTTTCCTTTGGTCGATTGCCTCCAACCATTTAATATGATAAAATCAATGTGCATCGTGATAGCGAGCTACCCTAGAATGGTGGCCACATTGCAAACCTGACTGACTGACTGATAGAATTCAGTCTGCACCAAAGAGAAAGGGCTAGACACATCACACTGATTACTGACTAGTGTCCAGTCAAAGTAGTACTTAGAGCTTCGGCTATGCATAAGTGGAGAGAGAACGTAAGCTTTTCGAGCGATTGGATTTGGCCACCCTGTAGATAACTTTAAAAGGAAGGTAATCAGATTGACGGAACATAAGAATTTGTGTAAGGTAAGAATGGTTGAAGATGAGTAATTTAGAAAAAAGCTCAGCAATTGCACCACATGCATTAACACACAAACACACAATAGGTTGGGAGAGGGTTAAGGTTCTAAGAAGTATTCTATGTAGGTGGAGAGAGAGAGGGAGATTACTGAATCCTGCCTGGTTCATCGAGTCTACACCCAACACATGCAACAGAAATGACTCGATGCAAATACCAGAGATATGGAAGATATTATTACCACCAGTCAGTCAAATCAGAGGAGGATAGTAAATAATCTCAAAATTCTATTTCAATTCAAGCACATTACAACATTCTAAGAAGTAACTTATTATGATTATAGAAACACTCGTCCTTTTTCCCATCTAATTGTAATTGATCAGTAACACTCATGTTATTATTTCTGAATGTACATTATCCCATATTGAATTTTATTCCAATGTCTAATCGATTCCACACATGTATATAAATGAAGTAAAAAGTTGTGTGAGTACCTTGATATGATTATGAGCGTCAATAATTTGTGCTCGAAAAGTGGTCATCAGTTAATATTACTGTGTAACTTATCGCAATAAAATCTTATCTATAATGGAGTTATACTCTACCGCCACAGTGCCCAAGTTTTATACTTATATCAAAGGATAAATCATGTGAATGACCTGACTCCAGAAGGTGTTCACAAATTGAAGACTTCGTCATCCTATCCAGGCCTTTCATTAACCAAACCTGGAAGTGTTCAGATAGGCGTTTCCGGAGAACATGTTTATAACGTCCACTGTAATCAGCGGCTCCACCCAATCATGTGAATAAGTATATGCACACACATAGGTGGACATAAGTGGTAGTTTATTCTGGACGCATTGTCGGTTGGTAAATACCCTGAATGTAAGTTAGCTGCATAAAAAGATCGACTTTTAATGACTTCAGAAATCGTGGAAAATACCCATCGGAACATGGCCAGCCTAGAAAACGGCATCTTAAAATCAACAGTGGACAAATTGCTGCTGTACAAAAGATACGCAGATGACACTTTTATAGTTTGTCAGGATGATTCCAATTTAAATCGTACCTTAGAGGAGTTTAATAACTGCGATCCTTCAATGAAATTCACAAAGGAAGTTGAAAATGAATCAAAGATTCCATTCATGGACGTCGAATTGACAAGAAGAGATGATGAAACTGTGAAAAGATCTATCCATAGAAAACCAACATGGAATGGCCAACTGACAAACTTCTACAGTTGGATACCTGTCAGCCGTAAAAGAGGTCTCATCATCTCGCTAGCCCACCGTACCAGAGGAGTTTGTAGCGATGACTGTCTAGAAGAAGAAGAAGAGCTTCTATTTCTCAAAAGCATCCTGGATCGAAATGGATCCCCACCGCGTTTCGTGGAGAGGAACATGAAGGCAAAGTCGTAGAAAGAAGAATGCACTTCAGTGCCAGAGAATACACTTTATTTGAATCTGGAATTCAGGGGAGACCTAGCGGCAGATATCCTTAATAAAAGGAGAATCTCCAATTCCCTGAAGAAGACTTTTCCGGCAGCAACTCTAAGAGTGATATTCTCTAGCCGCTCACTACTTCGGAGCAACAGGAAGGACAGACTTCCGCATATGACCACCTCAATGTGCAGACTTCAGAAATACTATCACCTCTAAACACCAAAGTCATAAACAGTAGTCTTCTTTGGCACTGTGACTTAACTCGGCATGTTTTTTTTCTCTCTTGATAACTGAAACAACTTTTTATTATTCAAAATACATGTTGTATATAATATAAAGAAAAACCTCAGGAATTCAAGTCACAAGTAAACAAACAAAAATCTGATTTTCAAGTGTTTGTTTGTAGGGATTTGTTTGGTTACAGGATTTTCATCATGAGCTGAAGACATTGGTTAGAGGTCGCTCTATGTCGTGAATTGGCAGAAGTTAGAATTTTTTTGATTGAACACTAGTCAGTAACTAGTGTAATGTGTCTAGTCCTATCTTCGGTGAAGACTGAATTCTGTCAGTCATGTTTGCAATGTGGCCACCATGCTAGGTGGCTCGCCATTACGGTGCACTGTGAATTGTTGGTACTAGATGGTTGGAGGCAATCGGCAGGAAGCCTTGGACCTAGGTTTCGTGCTAGTTGGGCCATTGGATCGGGTCCCAGTGGCTTAATGGTATACGAGCTCGCCTTGTAACCAGAAGGTCCTGGATTCGAATCCCGGTGGTTGTGTACCGCTGAAGAGTCTCAAACCAAGACGAAACAGCTGTCCAGTACTCCCAGGTTTTCCAATGGTTCTCTAACTAATGTCAGCTCATGATGAAAATCCTGTAAAAAATCTGATTGGTCGTGCGATCCTCAGAAAGTCAAGCTATAAATAAACCAATCAACAACAACAACAAAAACTGTCCAATCAGATTATCATATCGCTGCATGCATGCATCAATCATGTCTTCACAGTTATTAACAAAGAATGCTTATATAATGTGTGTCTTTTGTTTGTTTGTTTTTGTTTTCCTTTGTCCTCTTACACATAGCCACCATTGAAACTTGGTGATGGTCCAATCGGTGTAATCTGTGCACCGACAAGAGAATTAGCTTTACAAATATATAGTGAAGCAAAAAAATTAGCTAAAGTGTATAATTTAACAGTTGTCTGTGCCTATGGTGGTGGTAGTTTATGGGAACAACAAAAAGCCTGTGAAGCTGGTTGTGAAATTCTCGTTTGTACACCTGTAAGTTATTATTATTATTATCACTGTAATGTTTTTGTACGTTTGAATATATATATACCACTTCCGTATCCTTTTCACTTTCCTTGCATTGATCATGTCTTCACTCTCCGACAGATCCTAGAACATAGACACACTTTTCGGCTTCCAATAATTGCCATATTTCTTGACTTGAAGGCGGCCTTCGACTCCGTGGATAGAGAGGTACTATGGCAATGTTTGACTGTGAAGGGAGTGCCAAGAAATTTACATTGCACTAATCAAGGCACTCTACCCAAACTCACGTAACTGTGTAAGGGCTTATGGGGAATTGTCATCTGAATTGATAACAACCAGTGGTGTCCGCCAAGGATGTCCACTTTCCCCATTTCTGTTTAACTTCATCATAGATATGCTAATGGAAGTATCCTTAACTGAACTTAACGACTTAGGAATCGACTTGTTACCAGGGAATAGTCTTATAGACTTAGAATATGCAGACGACATAGTCCTGTTAGGGGAGGATGCTGACAAAATAGAGAAGAGTCTTCTGAACACCTTGAGCAGCAATCTTCGTATGTTTGGCATGCCATTCGCCCCTGTAAAATGTAAGATGCTGCTACAGGACTGACTGGACTACGTCAACTCCTAGCTTAGTGATAGGGAGTGAAGTGATAGAACATGTTGACCACTTCACCTATTTGGGAAGTTGTATCAGCACCAACGGACTGATTGGTGACGAAATCTCAGCACGGATCCAAAAGCTCGAGCTGCTTTCGCTAACTTACACCATCTCTGGCGTAGGCGTGACATCCGGCTATCAACCAAGGGACGTGTTTACTGCTCACCAGTTCGCTCCGTCCTTCTCTATGGCTCTGAAACATGGCCAATACGAGTTGAAGACATGAAAAGGTTGTCTGTTTTTGATCATAGGTGTCTACGATCTCTTTCTCACGTTAGGTGGTATAATAAGATAAGTAATGTTGACGTTAGGCGTAGAGTGTTGGGCAAAGAGGGAAAATCAATCGACGAGGCCATAAAGTTACATAGATTGAGATGGCTAGGTTACGTGGTGCGCATGCCTAACCATCGCCTCCCCTGACGGACGGGCATTACTAGCTGATATAGGTGCAGGTTGGTTGGAAAAGAGTAAGTGGTGGCCAAACAAAAACATGGCCTCATCAATCCATGAAATCCTTGACAGTTAAACTGAGTCAGGTAGGGAGATGCAGACTTCCGGGTTGGAGCCCGCCCTCAGGACTCTAAGAATCAATGGCTGGAGACAATAGGTGACATGGCTCAAAATCGTTGTCAGTGGCTTACGCAGATGTATTCAGTCTCTGTAATCTTTCATATTCCTTTCTACCATTACTCATTCTGTTTCACTCTTATACTTGTCAAAACTCTATTGATTCTCTTCATCACTCATTTTCTTGTCTACGTTTGTGTGCTATTTGGAAGGTGGCAACTGGAACTGTTCTATGTTCCTTGAGGTTTTGGATGGTGCCGCCGAAAATAAAGTTGTAGACTGTGATCTTCAGTGCATAGTTTGCTAGACGGCCAAGGTACTGCCTGTCTTTTTTCAACAAAGGACTAGTTTGCACCGATGTGCAGCAGTTCAAGTCACCACACTTCACTCAGCATAAAAAAGCAAGAGAAGAAAGTAGAAGAAATGCATAACAGAGACAGTAGACAGGGGGTATGAGACAAAGGGAATAGTTAATAACGAAGAACAATATAGTTTTATTGAATATTATAAGTCGCAAGGAGTGGATGCATCTGCGCCAGCCATTGACACTGAGGATTCTGAGCCGTATCACCGATTGTCTCCAGCCGTTATTGGTTTTTATCATCCCTAAGACCCCAACCGGTGAGGAAGTCTACATCTTCCTACGTGGCTGACTTAAACTAACTGTTTTGGATTTCATTGACTGACAAAGCTCTTTTCCAACCTGACCCTATGTCAGCTAACATTTCCCGTCGAGGAAGGCGGTGACTAGGCATACGTAACACATGTACTTACTTTACTTCGGCTATCTCCTACGGGAGGATGAGCCGGCTTCATGAACATCTCGAATCATCGCTGCCCAGGCGCGGCGATCTAATGAAGAGAGTTCATGAAGTTTCATGGGAATTTGGTACGAGTGATGTCCCCAGAATCGCTCGGCCTTTTGTTTGAGAGTGCAGCTCTAGCCTTTACACAACCAAGTGTGACCTACAATGCAGTAGGAGTGGAGTAGGGAGTCCACTATCCATTGGCAGCCGGTGACCGGAGTTCGGTTCATACACCTTTTTGAATGGGGCCAGACATCCAGGACATCCAACAAGCCCTTTGTCCACACATGTACTGATGATCAGTTGAGAGAGGAAGACCTAAGTCTACCGACCGTCGACTGTACCAGGTCACTTATACAGGCATATCTCTATTAGTGCGCATATTGTACCAACTTGGTGTTTTACAGGTGTCTATTCTCTTGTTTTTTTTCACTGGGATACAAATCACATTTATCTACGTAAGAGTTTCGGTAAAGTTTTTTGTCTTTATTGTTTGCTTGAGAGAGACTGTCAAAATTCTCTAAAACCCTGTATCTTTCATTTTCCCCATATAGAATTGTCTAGGTATTTATGTGATGATCGGTGACAGAGTGTTTGCACTGATAGTCAGTAATTTTAGCTCACTGGCGATGTTGTCGTTCAGTAACCTAAGCAATTGACTTTTATTGATTGAAGGATTTCATCATAAGTTAACATCAGTTAGAGAGCCATTGGAAAACATGGGAGTACTGGACAGTAGTAGGTTGAAGGTGAGGCAGTTACTCATCGAAAAATATATCGCGAAAAGGTCGCACTATGTCATGAATTGGCAGAAGTTAAAATTCATGGGCTGGCCATTGGATCGGGCTAGTCTACGAGCTCGCTGGTCTTGTCACCATACGGTCCTGGGTTCGAACCCCCCTATGGTGGGTGTGTACTGATGAAGAGTCCCAAACTACGCTAACGAAACGACTGTCCAGTACTTCCTGTGGCTGGTTTCCAATGGTCCTTTAACCGATGTCAGCCTAAGATGACCAAATCCTCCAACCAATCAGACGAAATCCCTGTCTGTCTCGCTGTCTGTTTTCGACATAGAACTTTGCACATATGTGCGGCAGTTCAAGTTGCCACACTCCCTCCTTGTAGAACACAAAGCAACAGAAGAAAGTAGGAGAAATGCATAATATAGACAGTAAACAGAGGTGTAAGACAAAGGTATAGTAATAACGAAGAACAAAACAGTTTCATTGGAAATCATAAGTCACAAGGAGTGGATGCATCTGCGCTAATCGTTGGGAACGATTTTGAGCCATATCACCAATTGTTTCCAACCATTGGTTTTTACCATCCCGAGGACCCCAACCAGTCAGGAAGTCTACACCTTCCTACGTGGCTTAAACTAACTGTTGTGGATTTCGTTGACTGATGAGGCCATGTTTTGGTTTGACTACCGCTAACTAGCTCTTTTCCAGCCTGACCCTATGTCAGCTAACATTGCCCATTGTCGAGGAAGGCGATGACTAGGTATACGTAACACATGTCCTAACCATCTCAATCGATGTAATTTCACAGCCTCGTCGATTGATTTACCCTCTCGCGTTATCTAGCACTCGACCGATGGCTTACCTCAATATTGCTCACCTTATTATACCACTTCACACGGGAGATAGAACGCAGACACCTATGATCAAAGACAGCTAACCAGCCAGCCTTTTTATGTCTTCCACTCTCAATGGCCAGGTCTCACAGCCATAAAGGAGGACGGAACGGACTGCTGAGCAGTACGCACGCCCTTTGGTCGATAGTCGGATATCACGTCTACTAAGGCAGAGACGGCGTAAACTGGCATGTGCGAAACGAGCCCTCTGTATTCGTGCTGCGATTTTGTCAGAGATCAACCCATTGGCACTGGCTGATGGTACTTCCCAAATAAGTGAAGTGGTCAACGTGCTCTACCACTTCACTTCCTATTTCTAATCTAGGAGTCGGTGTAGTCCAAAAACGAAATCCCTACAAAACCAATACTTGAAAATAAATTCTGGGTTAATTTATATACCTGTCTGACTAACTACGGTAGTTTTTCAAGTGTTGGTTTGTAGGGATTTGATTGGTTACAGGATTTTCATCATGAGCTGACATTAGTTAGGTAACCATTGGAAAACCCGGGAGTACTGGACAGCTGTTTCGTCCTATTTTGAGACTCTTCATCAGTACGCACCCACCGGGACCCAGGGTGGGTTACAAGGCGAGCTTGTATACCATTAAGCCACGGGGACCCGATCCAATGGTCCATGAATTCTAACTTCTGCCGATTCACAACATAGCGCGACCCCTAGCCAATGTCTTCGGCGAGTATTTGTCCTCACATCCGACCTGCTGCACCCTACTGATCACGACTTCTCACTAGAACCCCAGGTAACTTGCTACCTGAATAGGGCAAGTCGCTAGTGAGCATCTCATTGATATTCAAGTGTTGGTTTGTAGGGATTTGATTGGTTACAGGAGTTACAGTTACAGGAGTTTTTTTGGTTACAGTAGTTTTTATAACAAATCTTATATTTATCTTTCTGTCTTTTATGTACACACATACACAGGGTCGATTAATTGATATAGTGAAAAAGAAGTCGACTAATTTACGCAGAGTGACATATCTAGTTTTTGATGAAGCGGATAAAATGTTCAATCTTGGTTTTGGTAAGTCCTTATATTCCTACTGCTACTGCTACTACTAATAATACTAATTATTTACTTTCTTCAATTGTGTGAGTGTGCGTGTGTTTGTGTGTGTGTGTGTTTAAGCTCTGATTCAAGGTATCTCTCGGACTCCAAGAAGATAGTCGTGACTCACCAACCGATGCTAACCCTAACACAAATATCCTTCATCCCACAACGCCGAGTCATAAGGCTGACTGACCTTCTCTCCGCTTTTTCCATCTCGTCTCAGGGCTGGCTAGTATAAACAGAGTTCTCCGGTATGGAAACCTCTGGGATGACATTCGTAGCACATATATCCAAGCCACCGAAGCCGGTGTTTCCACCATATGACGACAGTTAATGAATGGTGGCCTCCACTGTGTCCACACACACACACACAAGCACACACTGCTGGACGTCGAAACTACTCACAGGAACGCAAGCAATTCTACGGAGACAGTGATGATGAAATATGCAGAATCGTCTCACATTCTCACCCCGGAAAGGTTCAGATGTGTAGAGCAAGACAGCGCACAGCGAGGCTGAAGTCGAGACGGCGCTAGAGAAGTGGCTTAAATTGTATTTTTAACGAAGATGTTGAAATGAAGGTGCAGCAAACAGAGTTCAGGTTGTCAGTATTCCTAAAAAAAGGTGTCGGAGGAAAAAAGGAATGTGAAGAAACTATCATAAGATGGAAATGTGAGGGAGATTATATGCAGAATAATGACGATTTAGTGTGTAGAGAGGGAGAGAGAGACAGCCTTGTCAGCATTCTGACAATCTATTAGCCTGACAGTGTATAACTTCCCATTATGGGTCATAGCGACAATAGACAACTCCATAGATAATCAAAACAAATTATTCAGCGAAGAGACTTTTCAATGAATTTATTGTCAAGTTGTACAATCGCATATACATGTGGTTTTTAAGAAGTTATATCCGGTGAGCGAATTGAAACATAGGTGTAAATGCATAAAATAATAATAATAGTAGTATGAAATGCAATTAAAATCAATGAGGTGCTCACTAGCGACTTGCCCTATTCAGGTAGCTAGTTACCTGGGCTTCTCGTGAGAAGTTGTGATCAGTAGGGTGCAGCAGGTCGGGTGTGAGGATAAATACTCTCCGAAAACTTTGGCTAGGGGTCGCGCTATGTCGTGAATTGGCAGAAGTTAGAATTCATGGGCCATTGGACCGGGTCCCAGTGGCTTAATGGTATACGAGCTCACCTTGCAACCAGAAGGTCCTGGGTTCGAATCCCGGTGGGTGCGTACTGCTGAAGAGTCGTAAACTAGGACGAAACAGCTGTCCAGTACTCCCAGGTTTTCCAATGGTTCTCTAACTGATGTCAGCTCATGGTGAAAATCCTGTCACCAATCAAATCCCTACAAACCAACACTTGAATAAAATTAAAATGTTTGTGATTATAATCGTAGTTAAATGTCAAGTGGCAAAGCGAATTAATGTCATATATAGAATAATTCATAGGATGGATAGAACTTGAAAAAAGGTGTGCAATTATAAGATTAGTAGACAAATCGAATAAAATAAAAACGTTACGTAATATTGTGTGAAATTTAATAGCATAGAATTTAACGTTGTAAAACAGAAGAATTGATTTAGAATGACAAGTGGAACAAGTGAAATAATACCGAGGACAATTAAAAGTGAGAGTAGTAATAGTAACAATTGACGTAATAAGGAAGAGTATACAAATTGAATAGACAAAAATGAGAAAATGAAAAATTGGTAGAGCTAATATATGATTGGGGATTACCATACTTTAGCATAAACGAGGGATTAAGACCATGAAAGTCGGAGGGGTTGAACGAACGTTTTCTGTACACAGAGATCTGGCTTTTCTGTTTCGATAGCCAAAGATGGCTTCAGCAATACAGATAAGTCGGGTACGCAGGGATTTGGGTAAATTACTCTTTGCCTTGTAGATGACTTTGAAGGCGGAGGCTATAGAGATAGATCTCTGCGTGTTGTTTTCGTTTGATCTAACTATGGTTTATAGTTTCCTCCATAGAAATCTGTAACGACTAAGTGATTTCTAATAAAATGTTAAAACACAACAGGCTTTAAATTAGGTGAAATAGCAACAAAGTGATACAGTTTAATTTGTACGCTTTTGTGTTCTTTATCTCACAGAAATTCCAGGTGAATGTAATGACTGGATTTAATTCTCTCAGGGGATATAAAACATTTCAATTTGTTCTCATTGATTTCCAACTTTTCACTACCTACCTATTTGCACAGATGTTCAACTATCCTAGTCGCCAAACTCCATTTAGCACACGAAGCCTCCGATCCATTCGCTTTTTGCATCCTAAGGACACCATACGCAGGTAGTGTATATACCTCTTTATACATGACTCAAGCAAAACTTGAACATCTTCAGGGATTCACGTAAGGTTTCAGTTTGACCACTGCCAAACTCTTATGTTTGGTAATATTATTCGACATAGCGGTTAGAACGCTCGCCGACCATGCACATGGTTCGGGGTTCGATCCCCGGCCGACGCATTCCTTTACCTTGCTATGCCAGAAATAATGCTGGTGAAGAGGAAAGGTTGGGCATGAGGCTAGCAGCCCCATCCTGTAAAATGAACACTGCTACAGAAACTTCAAGCCACAAGCTTGAAGCCCTATGTTCCACTGGGGAACGTGAAGGAAAAAAAACTCGGCAAGGAAAGCAGTGACAAAGCATGTGTCTTGTCGCCTAGCACATATCCTAACCGGTCTCAATCAATTTATCACTTTACAACCTTACCGATTGACCTCCCTTACTTACGTGTGTGGATTAAAGTTTGACCCTAATCTGATTATAGATTTTCTTTATTTATACTTATATAGGCCATAAAGTAAAAAAGCGTTTATTGACACATACTTGTTACTCCTCCGTTATTTTTACTTTTCTTTTTCAAATTTAGAACCTCAGGTTCGTTCAATTGCTAATCATGTGAGACCTGATCGACAAAGTAAGTTCAGTGTTTATTATTATTATTGTATATTACTGTTTCCTTTAATTCCTAGAGGAACATAGGGCTTCTGCCTCACGTCTCCATTGCGTTCGGTTCTCTGCCAACGTTTTCTCATCACCTGGCTCCACGTCTGTCCACATGCTTTCATCTCTTCTTGGCATGACCTCCTCCTCCATGTCACCGCACCGTCGCACTGACGACAAACTCGCTGTCTCCCATTCGGATTCCACTTGAGTGATGGCCTGGCGTGTGACGTCATTCACTTGATGGTGGTTTGTTTTCTCAGAGTATGGCCAGCCAATCCACCTTCATTTCTTCTGGCATATTTGTTGCACAATTGGGTCCTGCTGGGTTGGTTTGTTCTCAGAAATCCCTCACTATTGCTGATGTTTTCTGGCAATTTGATCTTGAGTAGTATGGAGTGAAGGCAGTTGTTGATGAAAGTCTGTAGTTTCTTCGTGACATGGCGCGGCGCCAAGTCTCTGATCCGTATACTGGTACTGACTTCACATTGGAGTTGAAAATCCGGATGTTATTTTTGATGCTGAGTGCTGTTGATCTCCACACCGACTTCAGAGTATAGCCAATCCACCTCTATTTTTTTCATTCCTTTACGTTCCCAGTGGAACATAGGGTGCCTTCAAGCTAGAGGCTTGAAGTTTCGGTAGCAGTTGTGTTTAGTTTGGTGGTTTCTCGCTGAACGTTAATCTTCCATCTCTTTGTGGCTGTTTAATTGAAGTTCAGCTTATCTATCTGCAAATTGTATCCACCTACGCAAAGTCTTTGTTCATATTTTTCTCACGACCAATATTGAGGACGTAAACACTGATGTAAATTACTATCTACCAATTTGGCTAGCAGCCATCTCTCACAACACTCGTCCCGTGCCCCGTCAAAGACTTGCGACTGAAGTTGGTTCGTTCTTCCTGGTTCTAGCGGCTTTGTTCGTTTGTGTTGTTGTCTGGATTCTCGGCGCTCGCTGCTGTGCATCTGTTTCTCGTTGTTCACCATTGCGACTGTGTCTGCGTAACCGCATCTCAAAGTGACCATATGTGGTCCTTACCACTTTGGAAACTGTTTGCCTGACCCTGTCGCATATTTGTCGATATTTCGCCCCACACTTTCATATACTGCTTTCTCCCGACCTCTCAGTAGCGTTCCAAGTAAAGCTTCATCGCTGACAAATCTTGAACGCCACTCAACTGCGAAGAAGCCTCGAAGTCCTGCCCGAAGATCCATATGTTTCCATCAAAAACTGCAGGGCGTAAGCTTTCCATTTGTCAGTAGGCAGCGACACCAAATGTAACAACAGAAGACAAGGGCCAGTAAACAGATCGTTTATTAAGGAAATCAACACATATTTATAGATTTTCATGTACATTATTATAGATAATTGTTAGCAGAAAAACATAGTCTTCTGGTTGGTGGTTGTTTCTCACTGAAAGTTAATCTTTCATCTCTTTGTGGCTATTTCTTGAATGTCAGTTCATGTGCTATCTGCTAATTGTATCCGCCTACGGAAACAAAGTCTGCTGTGATTGGTTGTTGAGTCAGTCTTTGTTCTTGTTTTATTATGACCAATATTGAGGGCATAAACATTGACGTAAATTACCATCTACCAATTTGGCTACCAGCCAGCTCGCTTTCTCACCACAGTAGTATATAGTTTGGTTGATCACTTGATGGCTAGTTTTGCTGCTTACGACTTAAACAGTACCAAAATATAAATTTTAAAAACAAAAAAGTTTGATTATAGTTCCACGTAACGCGACAGAAGTCAAGAGAATTAGTAAAAATGGGATTATTTATAGGCGATTGGATCGATTGGTTAGGAAAGGACAACTCCGAAAATTTTAAATTCCAACTTACCTTGCGGTGATCCGTAGACCCGGTACACAACACCAAAAACGATTAAAGACAATCAATTTGTGTGTATAACCGCCTTCAGGTACTGCCAAGAGAAGAAGTTGACCTCCACAATGTAATAAAACCGCGTCATATACAGTTCCATAAGAGCGAAACGGTTTCCTTTGTGACTGTCGCACATTACAGACAAAAAGAGTGATCGACTCAATGCTTTTTATTATTTGTTTCAACTCTAAAAGTGTGGTGAGAGCTGTCTGCAAGCCAAAATTGGTAAACAGTGATTTACGTCAATGTTTTTACGTCCTGAATCGAGGTCATGAGAAAAAATCAAGAACTCAACAACCAATCACAGCAGACTTAGCGTGTGCAAATACGATTCGCAGATATGTGGCTTAACTTTCTAAGAAACGGTCACAAGCAGCACGGAATAACCTTCAGCAAGAAAATAACCAATCAGAATACGTTGCTTCTCTGCTAACGAGACAACGAATAATAATGTGTAGGGATTTGATTGGTTACAGGATTTTCATCATGAGCTGAAATTAGTTAGAGAACCATTGGAAAACCTGGGAGTACTGGACAGCTGTTTCGTCCTAGTTTGGGACTCTTCATTAGTACGCACGCTATGTCATGAATTAATTGGCAGAAGTTAGAATTCATGGGCCATTGGATCGGGTCCCTGTGGCTTAATGTTATCCGAGCTCGCCTTGTAACCAGAAGGTCCTGGGTTCGAATCCCGGTGGTTGCGTACCGCTGAAGAGTTCCAAACTAGGATGAAACAGCTATCCAGTACTCTCAGGTTTTCCAATGGTTCTCTAACTAATGTCAGCTCATGATGAAAATCCTATAAATATCTGTTGATTTTCTCAATAAACGATCGGTTGCCAGACCCTTGTCTTCTGTCGATACAAAAGTACCGTTATACTTTTTTAAATATTTAGTAATATATATGTTTATATATATTTCTTTTTCTTATGTATATATGTAAGTAAATAAATACAAATTCAACATTTCTAGCACTTCTCTTCAGTGCAACATTTAAACGACGATTGGAACGATTGGCTAGAGATATACTGACTGACCCTATACGCATTATACAAGGGGAATTGGGTGAGGTAGGTGGAAGGAAATTGGTCAAATGCCCTTCTTTTTTCTCTCTCTTTCTTGTCTTTGTAACGAAATGTTAACAGTTTGTCTGTTGTTGTTGTTCTTTTTCTGTTATTTTCAAATATCATAGAGTATTAACAAACTGGTTTCCAGAGCATAAAAGATTCTTTATTTAATTCAATTTTAGATTTTCCCGTCGATTTATTGGATCGAAGTGTCTGTTGGCTTCTTGTGTAGATGCTTTGACGATGCTTCTAACTACTTACCCAGACATCGTCGAACCATCATCGGCACAAGAAGCCGACAGACATGTCCACGTGAGACCGAGCACTTCGGTCCAAACAATCGACGGGAAAATCTAAAATTCAATTAAAAATAATTAATATGACCCGTTGCACAAGAGGTGGCCAGCTCTCGTGGCCCAAGTGGTCTAGTGGATAACACTTTGGCGTTTGAAACTATGGGCGCGAGGTCTGAGCCTCGGTGGGATCATCATCACTCACTGAGGAATGCAGGTACATCCAGTTGACGCGAGTTTCAAATAGCATGAAATATGCGCATCTTGATGGATTCCATCACTGCTAGTCACCATCCATCAATTAACTTATAAATGATTACTGCTCATAATCATAACTATATGAATTTTACTCACATGGTTTCACAATTTGTCTTATATGTAATTTCTTCCTTTTAATTGTATGTTGCCGATTTCCACATCTCCGGTATAGGCGGCGTTGTATCATTCCGATTGCACACATGTTGAATCGATGGTAAACAAAGCTTCAGTGATTAACTTGTCTCTCATCTCACACAAAAAACTTGGAGGATCTGGACTTCGCCGATGATAAATGTCTGATTTCCCACAAACTGGAAGATATGCAACCGAAAAGCAACAAGTTGGCACAAGAAGCATCAAAGATAGGACATCCTCCACGTGAACATATAGAAAACAGAGGTGATGAAGATTCCTGGCCAACACCACCAACAGCAACAAAAACGACAGACAACAATCAGCATAAATGGAAGGAGCCTGAAAGAAACAACCTCCTCTACCACCTTCCTGGGAAACATCATTTCAACTACACGCAGACGGAACTGACGAGGATATCAGAGCAAGAATTGGAAAAGCAAGACAAGCTTCCACTACTCCCAAGTCTGTGTGGAGGTCCACAGCACTCAGCATGAAAATGAGAATAAGATCCGGATTTTCAACTCCAATGTGAAGTCAGTGCTACTCACTATACGGATCAGAGACTTGCACTGCGCGTCATAAAGAGCATCTCAAACACACTACACACCTTCATTAACAGTTGTCTTCGCTCAATACTCAAGATCAGATGGCCGACCAGAAAAGATCAGCAACAGAGATCTCTGGCAATGAGCGAACCAACACAGCAGGAACCGATTGTGAAACAAATAGGCAGGAAGAAGTGGTGATGGATTGGCTGGCCATACTCTGAGTAAATAAGTCATCAAGTGACATCACTAGACAAGCCATCGCTCGAGTGGAACCCGAAAGGGAAGCGGCGAGTAGGTCGTCAGTGCGAAGGTGGGGTGACATGGAGGAGGTGATGTGAGGAGGAGATGAAAGCATGTGGGCAGACATGGAGCTAGGTGAAGACTGTAGCAGAGAACCGAACGCAATGGAGACGCACGGCTGAAGCCCTATGTTCCTCTAGGAATTAAACGAAACAATAATAATAATCATCTTGTCCCATCCACTCTATCGCTGTGTGATCACATGCAAGTGAATGCAGTGCAATGCAATGGCTTAGCTTTTTTCTAGGTTATTTAACTTACCTAGCAGGGTTAATCATTCTAGATTAAGCTAAATTTTTTATGTTTCAGTAATCTAGTTGACTCTGATCCCGATCTACTAATTTGACTGACTTATGTAATTGACTTGTCTCACAGTCATTGCAGTTGTGGTATTTGGAAAAAATTATATGTGGTTTTGCTGAATTGGATCTATTGCATCCTTCAGCCGACAGACAAAGTTTATCTACGAGAGAGAGTTGGTTGGTCAGTTAGTTAGTTTAAATGCCATCGTAATTCCAGCGTCATTGAGTAGTCTGCGTAAGGCCTCTGACGTCCCTTCTTCTTCATACAGCAGTACTACAGACGCTTTGAATACGATATTATTTTCGTCATTCTTATTACTAATCCTACTTTTTCTATGGTTTTTCACATATTTCTGATTAAGTTCTGGTAGGTCATACAGCCAGTCGTTGAATGCACTTGAATCTGATGTTAGAGATAAATAGTCTGGAATAGGTGTATCTATGAAGTACTATGCGCTATGAGACTAATTGTCCAGGCTAAGAGAAAATGGATAGAGAGAGAGAAGTTGGTTACTGAATCCTCCCGGGTTCATTGAGTCTACACCCAACACATGCTATCCGGAGTGTTTCTATGGCTCTCACTGTTTTGTTTGTGGTCACAGAGTGAAGTGAAGATGATTCACTAGCCTGCAGAATAGTACTAACTGTAGTAGAGAAGCAAGATGAGGAAGGTGATGTAAGTAAAGGAGAATGATGCTCAGGAAGACTTCATGTGCTCTTGGAAGTGTGTGGGCGGTTGTAAATTCCCGGCTGCCCACACCGTGGAAGTTGATTGGTTCTTCGGGTACCTGGAACAGAGAGTTAGTGTTGCGTAACCGCAGAGCCCAGGGGACAACTGCTTGATGCTAGCCGGTCACACACGGCCTGTATGAACTGGTTTCTTTCCTGGATTGGTTCCATATTAGTTAAATTACCTCCGGTTACGGACCACCGTTGGTGGGTTAAGTCGGGATGTACAATTTTTGGGGTCGACCTTTTCTAACCCCCTTTCTCCGGAGTGGAGAGATAGCATAGCTGGCATGCTGGTCATCTGAGGGAAACACCTCACTGCTGTTACATCCCTGTTCCCCAGCAGTACGACTTCGCCCTCAGACCCCCAGCATAGTGTAAGAAAGATTCTTCGCTATCCTAACAACCTTCCTGATATCAATCCGTCTTCTTACCTGAAGTATGTATATATATATGTATATGTATATTTGTCTGATATATCGATTTTTCATTTTTCACTAAAGGCTAATGAAGATATTACGCAACATGTGGAAATTTTCAATAAAATCGATGAGAAATGGGATTGGTTAACACGAAATTTAGTCAGATTTACTACTGGTAAGTTAAAGACTTTTGTGAATTACATCTCTCTTATTATTTTTTTTTTGTTACACAAAATGGGACTACTCACTCAATCGGCAGCAGATAGAGAGAGAGAGTAACACTTTGAAGTTTGAAACTATTGGCGATTAAATTTATTATTATTATTATTATTAGAACAAGATATATAAGAGAGAAGGATATTCTTGTTTTCAAGTATTGGTTTTGTAGGGGATTTTTGTTTGATTGGTTAACGGGTCGATCTCCTGACAACCAATCCCTACAAAAACCAATACTTGAAAATTAATTTGATGCTCACTAGTGTGACTGTTTCTATTCAGACAGTTAACCTGGAGTTCTAGTTGGAAGTTGTGACCAGTATGGTACAGCTTGTTGAAGGAGAGGCAGTAGCTCATCAAAGAAGACATTGCGAAGTGGTCGCGCTATGTTGTCATGAATTGGTAGAAGTTAGAATTCATGGGCTGACAATTGGATCGGGTCAGGTGCTAGCGTCTGCTGAATGATCTACGAGTTCACTTTGTAACCAGAAGATCCTGGGTTTGAACCTCGGCGGTGGATGCGTATTACTGTGGAGTCTCAAACTGGGGTTGACGAAGCAGCTGTCCAGTGCTCTATGCAGGTTTTTCAATGGTTCTCTAACTGATGTCAGCTCATGATGAAATCCTCCAACCAATTGTTGTTTTCAATTAGATCTTCAGGCCTCACTCTAATTTACATTTATATGTAAAACAAAATTTAACCAATGACGGTGATTTATGTGGATCAAATAATAATAATAATGTGGTAAATGTTTTGAACGTCATTAAAAACTATGATAATAATGATAACAAATATAATGATAATAAGGTTTATGCCGCAGGTGGGGCGATAAGAGTAACGAAGGTAGTGAGTGATATGTGTATATGCAGACAATTCAATGAATAAATAACTAAATAAGTCAGGTGAAACCTTAAAATTTACGTAATACTGAAGGTGGGTGAAGTGGACAGACACGTGATCAGAGTTTGATTAATAAATATGATAAAAGTACGAAGGAAATGGAAAATAAGAATATATGGGAGGGTTTCTTCAAATTAGAATTTTACTAAGGTAAGCAAGTGAGAGAGAGAACGAAGGTAGAACAAACTCCTTTTGTACACAACGGCTGGGGTTGTTCTGTTGAATTCCAATAGCTTCTCTTGGACTATGTATTTAGCAGGTTGGTTGCAATTCCGTTCGAAAGTGTCACTGGAATGTGATAGATAACCTGGAAGGTACTTCTTATTCTTCTGTCCACTTGGTGACCACTATCATCAATCAAATGAGTCAAAATGGAATTTCTTATAGATTTTTATATTCCGCCTTTTCAGAACCATAAAGGAACATGGTCAGTAATGATACGTTTCATGATTTTCATCATGAGCTGACATTAGTTAGAGAACCACTGGAGAATCTGTCGTGAATTGGCAGAAGTTAGAATTCAAGGATCATTGGATCGGGTCCCAGTGGCTCAATGGTCTACGAGCTCGCCTTGTGACCAGAAGGTCCTGGGTTCGAATCCCGGTGAGTCCCAAACTAGGCCGACGAAACAGCTGTCCAGTACTCCCAGGTTTCCCAGTGGTTCTCTAACTAATGTCAGCTCATGATGAAATCCTCCATGAAATCAAACAAAATCTCTACAAAACCAATACTTGAAAAGTATAAATATCTGTTAATTTTCTCAATAAACAATCTGTTGCCTGACCCTTGTCTTCTATCGTTACAATACTACTCTATTGTCCAGGATGAAGTAGGTGAAGTGAATAGGATTCGAACCTACATCCCCACTTACTAGAATGATTGTACATTTCACCGATGAGTAGTTAAGTAGGTCGGGTTACAGATCCTTTAAATTTACTATACGCTTTGATTCCTTCTATGTATATACAACATGAAGTAATCGCATTGTTCACTGTGAATGACCGAGAGCTACTGTCACTCCTTTCTTCTCTTCTGACTAGCCAAGTTGAACAAGGTTGCAGAATATGTTGGCCGACATGATGCCTGTGTGTATACAGCCGATATACTTCGCACCATAGGAACAAGTACACTGATGTAAGAATACACACCACGGAAATAGCTTAAAGCGGTGTCTTATCCTTAACGGTCGAGTGGATTAACAACTGTCTGTTGGAGATGATTTTTATTAGTATTATTGTTCCCTTGGGTTCCTAGTGGAACATAGGGCTTCAACTGCACGTCTCCACTTGTTTCTGTCTTCTGCTGTACTTTCCATCTGCATCCATATTAGTCTATACTGTTTCAACACCTCTTCACACGATCTCCTCCATGTCACCCTTGCACTGACGACCAACTCGCCGCTTCCCTTTCGGGTTCCACTCGACCACTGGCCTGACGCGCGATGTCACCCAGCAGCCTCCTCAACTCAGCGAGTGTCTAATCCATCTCCACTTTCTCCTGCATATTTGTTGTTTGGCGATTGGTTCTTGTTTTGTTTGTTCCCATAGTTTCTTGTTGGTGATTCTTTCCGGCCATCTGATCTTCAGTATAGAGCCAGCGAAGACAGTTGTTGATAAAGGTGTGCAACCTGTTGGAGATGATGGCTGCTTCTAACACCTTCTCGAAACATTTGGAAAGGCCATTATTATTATTATTATTATTATTACATTCCTTATTGGTAGCATCTTAAGCTTGTTTTCGCTAGAGGAATTTTGTCAGACTCTGAGCACCCACTCTACCAGCAGCTCCAACCTTGTGTCTCCTCAGGTAAAACAAGAAGTCTTTTCAGAAAACTTTATGCACGTACGTCTAAGTATAAAAATTCCACTATACCATATTTAGCACGTACTTTATGTGATGAAAATAGTGTCAGAAATGAACTAACTAACCTTCTTAGCACCACTAAATAAACCATTTCCTTCAACCTTAAAGCATCATACTTCATTGTTATTGTATTTTTTATATTTACAATCCTCTCAATTTTTTCGTTTTGTTTGTTTTTTCTCATAAGTGTGGACATAATTTAAGCTGTGTTATAACTGTTAATTTTGTATTTCCCCTCACTATACCATATCCACAGAACATTAGACCCAATAATCTATAACTTGCTAAAGTTTCCAAACTGAATCGACAATACCATTTGAAACAAACTCACAGTTATTATTATTATATCTAATAAATATGTCGTAAATGTGGACAAATTCCTCCGATTAATTTTTGATTTAATTTTTAATTTTATATACACTTTGAGTAAATCAGATGGAATATTGTGACAAGTACTAAGAATTTCATTCTGTATTATAAGTACTGTCTGTTTTGGAATAAAGTAAATTATTATTATTATTTTTATCTTGTCTCTATCTCTCTCCCTTCCTCCCTTATGTATATGAAAAAATTAGAGGGCAGTGTGCTTATATTTGTAACAAGAAAAGTGCATAGTGAAGAAGTTGCACAAAAATTGAAATCACGTGATCTTAAAGTTCTTCTTATTCATGGGGATATGCATCAATCAGATCGTAATTCAGTCATTCAAGCATTTAAACGTCAAGAAGCGCCAATATTAGTCGCTACAGATGTTGCATGTAAGTTTTTAAACAGTATAATAGTATTGTTATTATTATTATTATTTTAACTTTAGTGCTTTTCTTTCCCTATATAGTTCTTGAAGACACACAATGCCGTCATCTTTGATAACCCCCCGCCTTCCCCTGCCTCTGATCGACAGACATTATTGATGTAGAATTGGTTGACAGAGAACCAGCCGTGAACTTATTCCCCAACAAATGGATAAAATGAAAACAAGATTAATTGAAGGGAGACCTTCAGAAGTGCTATCATGGAGAAGATTTGTAGCTCAGGTGGATGATTTTGATGTGGTTGTGTTCTCTGAGCTGGATAGTTAATTTACGGGTAGAATGACGATGTCTTTCCTATTTTTCAGCTTTTTGAGGGCCTTTAGTTCTTCAGAGTTGAGTTGTGTGTGTGTTGTTTTTTCTGTTTGACCATTGGTACAATTGTTTGGCGTATCTCTTCCTGTGTTTCCTCCTTTAAGTTTGATGATTTGAGTAATGATTCAAGGGCGGCGAAGAAATCAATTTTCGAGGCATCTCCGGTGTTGTAGTTTAATCCTTTTTGTAGTCGTTGTTGTTCCGTTTTCGATAGTGGTTGTTTTGATAGGTTGACTACACAGTCAATAGGTGTATTGTCTCGTTGTTGTTTTCTAATCTTGGCTAGCTTGGTTTTGAGGACTCTTCGTCTTTGTTCTCTGTGTTTTCTACTTGATAATGTAATTGCGGTGATCAGCGTTGATAGGTGTTCCTGGTTGAGGGTTTTCTGTAGTTAGAAAACGGAACAACAACTACTACAAAAAGGATTAAACTACAACACCGGAGATGCCTCGAAAACTGATTTCTTCGCCGCCCTTGAATCATTACTCAAATCATCAAACTTAAAGGAGGAAACACAGGAAGAGATACGCCAAATAATTGTACCAATGGTCAAACAGAAAAAACAATACACACAACTCAACTCTGAAGAACTAACGGCCCTCAAAAAGCTGAAAAATAGGAAAGACATCGTCATTCTACGCGTAAATTAACTATCCAGCTCAGAAAACACAGCCACATCAAAAAGAGGTGCTATCAACATGCTATGCTCTCAAATCGATGCCGATTAGAGAGCGATGAGTATAGTTGAGTGATGATTCAAGGGTATTACTGAGAAGATTACGTGTGTTTAGGGAATTAAAGTTTGTGGATAAATTGTAGAGGCAATTGTAAAAAAAGGCGATAGAGGCGAACACACATTACAAAAGCGGTAGTATCTCATCCTTAACGTTAGACTGGAAGTGTGTGGGCGGTTGTTACTTCCCGGCTGCCCACACCGTGGAAGTTGGTTGAGTCTTCGGGTACCTGAAATAGAAAAAAGGTTAGTGTTGCGTAACCGCAGAGCCCAGGGGACAACTGCTTGATGCTGGCCGGTCACACGCGGCCTGCTTTTGTTTGTTCCTTCTTGTTCAGTGTGTCTCAGTAGCATATATATCACTTCTGCCCTGTGACACGGCAGCAGGAAGCGCGGTCGTTGTTAATTCGGGCCCCGACCGATCCGGCATGATATTTTGTGAGTTTGTTTGAATCATGGTATTGGATTGGGTAGCTGCTTTTTGTCTAACCGCTATCCAAACAACCTTTCTGGCATAGTAGGACCTACAGGAACATAAGTTCCAGCCAGTGTAGCTCGTTGGGTCATTGCGATATGCAAGCCCGACCACCACGTCAAGGTAGCAGCTATCGGTCGGGGTTCGACTGGATTAACTGTCTGCTGGAGAGAATGTGATACGTAAGATGGCGGCTGTTGGAAATATCCTCTTCAAACATTTAGAAAGACGGTTTCTAAGAATTTCTGCTGCGATGTGTCACCTGTGGTGGTGGTGATGGTACTATGTTTCTTCTCCATCCCAAGAAAATAACCATTGCAAGGCTTCAGCTTTGTTTCTAGTCTCTCATATCATCTGTTAACTGTCCGTTGGTTTAAAACGATACAGCACTCCAAAGCCTCATCTACCCTACCACTAGGTTGATTGGGAGGCTTGGAATAGATGTAAGGTGTTGTCATATGTTCCGCTGGACACTCAGGAATGAAAACAAACATCCTCTGTCAGAAATAGAGAATATAAGATTAAACAGTTCATTGAAGAGTCCCTTTCCGACAGTGAATTCATTCACTTAGTCGTACAGTTGTAATTATATATACGATTATTTATATGTGTGTCTGTCTGTCTGGATTCAACATAGAACTTCCCACCGAATTGCAGCAGTTCGAGTTGCCACGTTCCAAATAGCACACAAAGGTAGACAAGAAAATGAGTGATGAAGAGAATCAATAGAGTTTTGACAAGTATAAGAGTGAAACAGAATGAGTAATGGTAGAAAGGAATATGAAAGATTACAGAGACTGAATACATCTGCGTAAGCCATTGACAACGATTTTGAGCCATGTCACCTATTGTCTCCAGCCATTGATTCTTAGAGTCCTGAGGGCGGGCCCCAACCCGGAAGTCTGCATCTCCCTCCCTACCTGACTCAGTTTAACTGTCAAGGATTTTATGGATTGATTGATGCGTTGTTTTTGTTTGGCCACCACTTACTCTTTTCCAACCAACCTGCACCTATATCAGCTAGCTAGTAATGGCCGTCTGGGTGGGGGAGGCGATGGTTAGCCATGCGCAGCAGCTGACCTAGCCATCTCAATCTATGCAACTTTACAGCCTCGTCGATTGATTTTCCCTCTTTGCCTAACACTCTACGCCTAACGTCAACATTACTTACCTTATTATACCACCTAACGTGAGAAAGAGATCGTAGACATCTATGATCGAAAACAGTGAAGTGGTCAACATGTTATATCACTTCACTCCCTATCACTAAGCTAGGAGTTGACGTAGTCCAGTCAGTCCTGTAGCAGCATCTTACATTTTACAGGGGCGAATCGCATGCCAAACATACAAAGATTGCTGCTCAAGGTGTTCAGAAGACTCTGCTCTACTTTGTCAGCATCCTCCCTTAACAGGACAATGTCATCTGCATATTCTATGTCCATAAAACTATTCCCTGGTAACAAGTCGATTCCGAAGTCGTTAAGTTCAGTTAAGGATACTCCCATTAGCATATATATATATATATATATACATTAGGTTTATCAGATAAGAATAAAAATTAGTTAGGGTTATTGTTTACTTTCAATTGTTCTGTTTTAACAATCTTCCCGGTATGGTAGGACCGACAACCATATTAGTCCCATTGAGTGAAGCTTGTCGAGTTAAGCCAACCTGACCACTAAATTAGGATAACAATCTGTCGGTCGGATCTTGAAATGGTACATCAGTTTGTAATCTAGCTTGGAAATTAATCCAATCCCTATGAACGCTTCCTGATGTGTCCACCAAGTCAAGCGGCACATTAGTGTTACTCGCTTGTGATATTGGCTGGCAGTTGTGTTATATATATATATATATATATATATATATATATATATATCGCTGAAATTCACGATCTAGCTATTTGGATCCGGGTCCCAGTGATTGGATGGTCTACGAGCTTTCCTTGTATCCCCCCCCCCATGGTAGACACTTAATGCTGAGGAGTCTTAAACTAGGACGAAACAGCCATCCAGTACTCAAGTGCTAATTTAAAATAATTCTCTAATTTATGTCAGCTTCTGATCAAATCTGTAATCAATCAATCATAGATGTCTTTGTATATGCAAATGTAAGATGGTGGGGCTACAGGTCTACTGGACTACATTGACTCACTCCTAGCTTAGATATAGCGAATAGTGAAGTGGTACAGCACGTTGACCGCTTCACTTAATATGGTTGGGAAGTTGCATCAACCAACACCAGCGGGTTGATCACTGACGAAATCTCAGCGCGGATACAGAAGGCTAGTTTTGCATATGCCAGTTTACGCCATCTCTAGCTTAGTAGACGTGATATCCGGCAGGGTATCGACCAAAGGGTGGGTGTACTGCTCATCACTCCGCTCCGTCCTCCTTTATGGCTGTGAATGAGACCTGGCCATTGAGAGTGGAAGACATAAAAAGGCTGGCTGGTTGGTTAGCTGTCTTTGATCATAGGTGCCTGCGTTCTGTTTCCTGTGTGAAATGGTATAATAGGGTGAGCAATATTGAGGTTAAGCATTGGCCGAGTGCCAGGTAAGGCGAGAGGGTAAATCAATCGATGAGGCTGTGAAGTTACATCGATTGAGATGGTTAGGACATGTGTTAAGCATGCTAGCATAGCCATCGCCTTCCTCGACAATGGGCAATGTCAGCTGACATAGGGTCGGGCTGGAAAAGACCTAGTTAGCGGCAGTCAAACGAAAACATTGCTTCGTCAATCGATGAAATCTACAACAGTTAGTTTAAGCCAGCAGCCACGTAGGAAGATGTAGACTTCCTCACCGGTTGGGGTCCTCGGGACGGTAAGAAACAATGATGGCTGAAGACAATCGGTGATATATGGCTCAAAATCCCCGTTCTCAATGGCTGGTTGGCACAGATGCCTCCACTCCTTGTAACTTATAATACCTAATGAGAAACTATATTATTCTTCGTTATTAAGTATTCCTTTTATCTCATATCCCTGTCTGCTGTCTGTATTTTGCATTTCTTCTCTTGCTTTATGTGCTACAAGCAGGGGGAGTGTGGCGACTTGAATTGCTCTGCATATCGGTGCAAAGTAGTTCTATATGTTGAAAACAGTCTGTCAGTTTGTATATGCAACCCCGACCGATATCTGCTACCTTGACGTGGTAGTCGGGCTTGCATATCGCAATGACCCAACGAGCTACACTGACTGGAACTTATGTTCCTGCAGGTCCTACCATGCCAGAAAGGTTGTTTGGATAGCGTTTAGACAAAAAGCAGCTATCCAATCCAATACTATGGTTCAAACAGGTTCACAAAATATGCCGGATCGGTCGGGGCCCGGATTAACAACGACCGCGCTTCCTGCTGCCGTGTCACAGGGCAGAAGTGATAAATATGCTACGGGGACACACCAAACGAAAAACAACAAACAAAAACAGGCCGCGTGTGACCGGCCAGCATCAAGCAGTTGTCTCCTGGGCTCTGCGGTCACGCAATACTAACCTTTTCTCTATTTTAGGTACCCGAAGACTCAACCAACTTCCACGGTGTGGGCAACCGGGAAGTAACAACCGCCCACACACTTCCACTTCCAATATGCATAAACAAAACAGTTATATCTGGGACTTTTGAAATCACTAGATATTGTTTACCTCTTTTTTTGTGTTTAACTATTTGACTGTTACACTACCTGATATATGATGTTGAAATATTCTTTTACACGCCATTTTGTTTGTTTTTTTTTCTCTTCATCCTTCAAAACACACAGCACGTGGTTTGGATATTCCAAGTATACACAATGTGATAAACTATGAAGTGGCCCGGGATATTGATACGCATATTCATCGAGTCGGTAGAACTGGACGTGCAGGTGCTAAAGGCACCGCTTATACATTATTTGTTGCTGGAAAAGATCCCGTTGACTTTGCAGCTTGTCTAGTGCAACATTTGGAGTCCGCGTCACAGACTGTGCCACAAAGACTTTTAGATATAGCGTTAAAGTGTACTTGGTTCTCAAATAATCGATCATCGCTGGACTATAAAAATGGAGCAGGTGGTGGTGGTGGTGCGAAACCAGCTGTTGGCTTTGAACCGAGACCTGCACGAGCAAGACCTGGATTAGGCTTATCATCGTCGGACAGCAGTAGTGAGCCATATAATCCACGTAATAGTGGTAGTAGTGGTCCAGCCTCAGCAGCTGCAGCCGGAGAAGGCGATGAACTAATTCGACCAGGTGGTAAGTGTGTGTGGTTGTGTGTGTGTGTGTGTATTCCTGTCCCCTTTTTTATTCCTATTTCACTTATATAAAATGATCTGTGTGTTAAAATTGTGATATCCTATAATCTGAATGAATATATAATCGATTATCAATTATTTTCGCATATGCCAGTTTACGCCGTCTCTGGCTTAGTAGACGTGATATCCGACTATCGACCAAAGGGCGTGTGTACTGCTCATCAGTCCGCTCCGTAATCCTTTATGGCTGTAAGACATGGCCATTGGGAGTGGAAGGCATGAAAAGATTAGCTGTCTTTGATCATAAGTGTCTGCGTTCTATCTCCCGCGTGAAGTGGTACAATAAGGTGAGCAATATTGAGGTTAGGCGTCGAGTGCAAGGTAAGGAGAGGAAACCAATCGACGAGGCTGTGAAATTACATCGACTGAGATGGTTAGGACATGTGTTACGTATGCCTAGTCATCGTCTTCCTCGACGGGAAATGTTAGCTGACATAGGGCCAGGCTGGAAAAGAGCTAGCGTCGGTCAAACCAAAACATGGCCATGTCAGTCAATAAAATCTACAACAGTTAGTCTAAGCCACATAGGAAGGTGTAGACTTCCTGACTTTTTAGGGTCCTCGGGATGGTAAAAACCAATGGCTGGAAACAATTGGTGGCATGGCTCAAAATCGTTCTCAGTGGCGTAGATGCATCCACTCCTTGTGATTTATGATTTCCAATGGAACTGTTTTGTTCTTTGTTATTACCATTCCTTTGTCTCACACCTCTGTTTACTGTCTATATTATGCATTTCTCCTACTTTCTTCTCTTACTTTGTGTGCTACAAGGAGGGAGTGTGGCGACTTGAACTGGTGCACATATGTGCAAAGTTCTATGTCGAAAACAAACAGACAACCTTAGCCATCTCCCGGGCTGATAAAATCTCGCCATGGGCACCCAAGGCGTTCGTTTGGCATTTACCAGTTCACGTTATCTCTGGCTTAATAGACGTGATATCTGGCTGACTATCGATCAAAGGACGTATGTATTGTACAGCAGAATTTTTCTCCGTCCTCCTTTATGGCTCTCGCTGAGACACCTGGCCATTGAAAGGAGAAGACACGAAAAGTCTGGCTAGTTGTCCTTGATCATAGGTGTCTGTGTTTGGCGGTAGGTATAATAAGGTCAGTAATATTGAGGTTTGGCTTCGGTCGAGTACTAACTAGGTAGGTGGGAGCATTGGGTGATGCCGGTTTGAATCTCAAACACAGGACATCAGCGTGCGTACATACCCGAAACTCGAATACTCCCCAACTCATTCTTTAGCTCTCTAAGCTGAGTCTATCTCGGCAAATTACTGATGATGAAGTTAGCTTCAAATGTGAGTGGAACTGCTGGCCGGTGTTTTTGGATCACTTCAATATGTATCTAGCGAACGCGACTACTGATTGGTGTGAATGATTATGCAACAACTACTTATATCAGTAGTCAATCAGTTGTATGTTCTACTGTTTGTTCAGTCACTTGTTGGTGTGCCTTTGTATTCTCTGATTTCTATGGTTTGTTATTTGCGTAGCCTGTCATTGCCTTTCTAGAGAGAACACCTTCAGTGCAGGCTATGAGTCAAAAATCACAGTGACCTCAATTACTTTCATTGGACACTGGTTAGTAACTAGTGTAACCTGTCTAGTCCTTTGTTTGGTGCAAACTGAATTCTCTGTCATTCACTGCCATTATATGCAAAGATTAGAACTAATAGCTCTACCTATAATTAAACCGAAAATCTGGATACGTCACGTTGATGATACATTTGTAATAATTAAGAGAAATGATTTAGAATATACCCATAAATTAATAAACAACATATTTGAAGACATCAAATTCACAAGAGAAGAAGAATTAGATAACAAAATCCCATTTTTAGATGTCTTAATCAGGAGAACCAACATAGGATATTTAGAAACACAAGTATATAGAAAATTAACACACACAGATCAAATACTCAACTATACTAGCAATAATCCAATTACGCACTCACAAACGAAACTGTGTGCAGACATTGTTTAAAAGAGAGTTCAAACACATTGTAGCACTCCAGAGTTGAAAAGAATGGAAGAAAAATACCTACAAACGGTGTTCAAAAAGAATGGTTATCCACAAAATTTCATCAAAAAATTGTTTAAAGTCGAATCAAAACACCAACAAGAAACCATCATCAAAGACCACAAGAAAATTCATTCTACCATACATGAGAAATATCTCTGAAATAACAGCTAGAATACTGAAACTGCTTGATATAGATATAGCACATAAGCCAGCCAACACAATCACTTCATTCGATATTATGAAAATCGAAAGATTCAACAGAAAAAGGAGATAAAATTAATACCATTTACAAAATAAATTGCATGTACGAACTGTTACAGACATTACACCGGCCAAAGTGGGCGTCCCCTTCGAATTAGAATCCAAGAACACAAATCAGCCGTGAAAAGACCCGATATGTATTCTGTAGTATCAATGCATATAGACAATTATGGTCATCAATTTGATTGGGATAATGTCAAAATCTTAGACAGAGGAAACACCATAACTGCGGTCAGGGAATTCCTAGAAGCCTGGTACTCAAACGAAAATGCAATTAACAAACACGTTAATATAGACCAAATATACCAACTAATAAAAAGTAAATCAGGTGACGTTGAAAGTTTAAAATCCAAGTCAATAGAAAATGATCAACACATATGCAAAGATGGTTACCGGGAGACGCAATTCTATCACTCATGAAGAAATTTAAATCACTTCACTTTTTGCTAAACATTGCGCTGAAAGGGGATGTTGTCCAGAAGCGGGACGACGAAAGCTCCACAACTAAACCAACCGACCAGCTCAGAGAACACTATTAACTGCAAATCACTGTCATTCAGTCAAGTGTTTGCAATGTGACCGCCATGTTAAGGCCATGATAGTTGAAGGCACCCCTAGTATAAAATGATCGATCACATTGCAAAAACTTGACTGTAACTGATAGAGTGAATTCAGTCTGCACCACAACGCTAACACCAAGAACTAGACGCCATGATATTATTTACTACCCAGCGGTCTATTACATACAGTCCTATAGGAAGTCATTGGCGAGCTCAAATAGCCCAGTGGTAAAGTCTTTGATTGTAGCACTGTCTGACTGATTTCAACATAGATATGATGGAGAAGATTTGTAGCTCAGGTGGATGATTTTGATGTGGTTGTGTTCTCTTAGCTGGATAGTTAATTTGCGAAGCTTTCATCACCTTACTAGGTGACATCTTCAGCACATACTTCAATTTGAAGTGAGCTTTTGGATTTCTCCACGAGTTTATTAATCATCTCTCCCGGTGGGTGACCTTGGACGTGATTGGTTGTTTTTGTGTGTTTTCACACATTCTAGGCTACTTGTATTGGAACTGATTGTTTCGTTGACTTGAACTTTGACCCTTTGTGTGTGAGGTTTCTTTTTTATCGGTTGTCAATCTCGATGTGTCTATTGATTGATGATTCACTGGAATGCCAGGCAGCCCTCTAAAAATTCTCCAGCATTCTTGTTGTTTCCTATGTCTAATATTTGAACCTTATCCCAGTCGAAATGATGTCCATGGTTGTCTGTATGTAGTGATATGAGGGAGTGGATATCATGTCTTTTGACGGCTAGCTTATGTTCGTGGATACGAAGACGAAGGGGACGTCCACTTCGGCCAATGTAGTGTTTTTCGCAGTTGTTACAATCTATTTTTTAGATGATGTTGGTTTTATCTTCTTTCGCTGTTGAGTCCTTTGGTTGACATAGAATTGAGTGAAGTGATTTTGTTGGTTTATGTACGACGTCAATTCCTAACGGTTTGAAGAGCCTTGTAGTGATTTCTGGTTTCAACATAGAACTAACTACTTTGCACCGATGTGCAGCAGTCCGAGTTGCCACTCTCTCTCTCTCTTTATGTAGCACACAAAGCAAGAGAAGAAGAAAGTAAAAAGAAATGTAAAATAGAGACAAGTAAACAGAGATATGAGGTTAAAAGAATAGTAATATCGAAGAACCATATAGTTTTAATGGGTATTATAAGTCATAAGGAGTGGATGTATGTATCTACGCCAGTCATTGAGAATGAGGATTTTGAGTCTTGGGTCACTAACTGGTTGCATTCCTACTTCTCAAACAGAATGCAGTACACCGTGTACAAAGGTGAATCCTCCTCTGCTGTACTCACTGAAGCCGGAGTCCCCCAAGTCGCTGTACTCTCCCCACTTCTCTTTTCTTTCCTTCTACATGACTTACCATCTTCAAATGACATTGATTTTGTCAAATATGCTGACGATCTGACAGTATCTTTGCCTGTCAAATGTCAAAGCGACTGCTCTGAACTAAATGGCTTTCTGTCAGAAATCAGCCAGTGGTCCAAGGAAAATGGTCTTACCCTAAACCCCTCCAAATGCCAAACAGTCAATTTCACCTTTAGGCATAAATCCTACCTAAACAAACAGGTTGGCTCTCATGAGGTGTGCAACATAGATGGCAATGAAATAAAAATTAAGTCGGAAATTAAATACCTAGGCGTCATTCTATCTGCTGATCTTTCTTGGTCGTCTCATATCTTGGCGATTTCTAAGAAAATATTCCGTCTTACCTACATCAAGAAGTTGAGACATTATGGTATAACCCAACCGTTACTCCTACAATTCGTTAATTCTCGCATCCTGCCTATTATTATTCTCTATTGTTCCCCCTTAGTTTTTCCAGGGCTACTGAAGAAGGACTATACCTTATTACGCAGGATGTTAAAGGTTGTCAGCAGGGTAAGCAACGTGCCACTTAACCAGCTTGTTAATATTCTGGTTGACAGGCACATGGACTCATGTGAAAAATGGGCCAAATCCATTTTATCTAACTCACACCACCCTCTTCACTCACAACTCTCCCCCTGCATCTCATCAGGTAGGACCAGAAGCCAATATAGAAAACTATATGCTCGCACTAGCAAGTACAAAAACTCAACCATACCCTACTTAGCTCGTGTTCTGTGTGATAAAGAAAGCATTAGGCGTGACACCTATAATTCTTTAAATAGTCAGTAGTACAACTGGATCTCGTCTTTCCAACCCACATCATCAATATGTTCAACATTTTCTTTCTTTCTTTTCCTTTTCTCTCTCTTCTTTTTCCGTTATGTGCTGCTTTGTCTCTTTCTCTCGCTTACGCCTGTTAATAAGACAGCTCCCACTTTTCTAACATCTTCAAACACTGTTTCAGCTTTACCTTTGCTACTGACATGCCAATGTGTTGTTGTAATAATGAACTGTTGTTTCCTCAATCTATGTAGAATTCTATTTTATGATAATGTACTAACTGGATGCAATACTGTAGTAAAAATGCTGAGAATTGCATTCTGTATCACAAGTACTGTTTTGGAATAAAGCAAATTATTATTATTATCACCATTTGTCTCCATCCCACATTGGCTCTAACTATCTCGAGGACCCCAACCGGTGAGGAAATCTACACCTCCCTACCTGGCTGTTGTGGATTTCATTGACTGATATGGCCATGTTTCTTCCAACCTGACCCCTATGCCAGCTAAAATTGTCCGTTGTCGAGGAAAGCGGTCGATGCCTAGGCGGTACGGAACACATATCCTAACCATCTAACCCAGTCGATGTAGCACTAAATGACACGAGTTCAAATCTCACAAGGAAAGGACATGAATTTCTTCACAATGTCAGAAACACGCCTTCCTGTGACTGATTGACTGACTGGTGGTGAATGCCGAAAAGCATGAAATAATGTAGCTCAGATATTCCTGCCGACTACTTCCAATCACTTTGCAATATATATATATATATATATATATATATACACCATATATACATGCATGCATGTATACAATAGGAATTTCTTTTTCTAACTTTCTTTTTATTTTACAGGTTTACAAGCGGATCGTTTCTCTGCAATGAAAGCTGCATTTACAGCTCAATACAGTCGAAGATTTGTTTCTGCTGGTGTTGAAGCCAGTCGATATACACATCCAGAAATGTTAAAATCATGTGTCTATGATAAACTACAAACGGTTGGTGGTAATTTCATTAATTCGTCTAGTCAACAACAATACCAGGAGCAGCAGCAGCAGCAGTCAGAAATGAATCCCGTTACGAAGCAGAAACGTTCACGATGGGATTAATCAATTGGGAAAAACCTTTAGCCAATGAAAAACAAAACAACATCTCTCTGTATTTATATTGTGTTTATGTAAAAATAGAAAAACGAAATGAATTCTATTAGTTTTTGTTTTTAGAGGGGAAATAACAAGAAGTTCAGCAAAGATGTTAATTTTTTCGGCGATTTCATTCTCAAATGCAGCTGTACAATCGCATTTATGTACATCAGTTTACATGCATACAATTATTATTTGTTTAATTCCACATAGTAACGAAGCTGATAATAATTTTCAACTTGATATGAAAGTTTGAAGGTACGAATATAGATTACACGGGGCTTAGAGACAAGATTACACAGGATTAGAAAACAGTTACAACGTATGCAAAACTAATATTTGATAACTGGAGAAATAATTTTAAAGGTGAATAAAAGGTGACAATTATTTTCAACTTGATATGAATTACAAGAGGCTTAGAAAGAAAAATTACGCGGGGATAGAACGAATTACAGGTGTGAACAAAATGAGCATGGAAACAAATTGAAATCGAAATTTTCAACTTGAAATGTAAGTTAGGAGGTGTGAATATAGATTACAAGAGGCAAAGAAACAAAAAAAATTACACAGGATTAGAATATAATTGTAAAATGGTTATTCTAAACGGATTACAAGTGTGATCAGGAAGAGCATGGGAACGAACTTAAAATAACTGATTTTATAACTGAAAAAAATGGGATGAATTGAATGAAGACAAAGAGAGAAAAATTACGCAGAGAGAGAACGAAAAAAATCAAAAAACAACCGGAGGCTAAGGGAACATACCGAACTAGGTCCACGGTAGTTGTAAAGGCTGGACTAGTTTCTTCTGAACACACAGCTCCGGCTTTTCGATGCATATGGCGAGAGCTTCCGCAGTACAAAAAAAGTTGGAAACACGCTGACTATCTTTGGTAGATTTTTGTTTACTTTGTAAATGACTTTAACAAAGTAAACAAAAATCTACCAAAGATAGTCAGTGTGTTTCCGACTTCCTTGTACTGTGGAAGCTCTAGCCATTATTTTTCAGTTATAAAATCAGTTATTTTAAGTTTGTTTCCATGCTCCTCCTGATCACACTTGTAATCCGTTTAGAATAACCATTTTACAATTAATTATTATAATCCTGTGTAATTTTTTTGTTTCTATGCCTCTTGTAATCTATATTCACACCTCCTAACTTATATTTCAAGTTGAAAATTTCGATTTCAATTTGTTTCCATGCTCATTTTGTTCACACCTGTAATTCGTTCTATCCCTGTGTAACTTTTGTTTCTAAGCCTCTTGTAATTCATAACACGTTGAAAATAATTATCACCTTTTATTCGCCTTTAAAACTATTTCCCCAGTTATCAAATAATAATTTCGCATACGTTGTAACTGTTTTCTAATCCTATGAAATCTTGTCTCCAAGCCCCTTGTAATCTATATTCGTATCACCAAACTTTCATATCAAGTTGAAAAAATTATTATCTCCTTCGTTACTATGTGAAATTAAACGAATAAATAAATCATAATTGTATGCATGTAAACTAATGTACATAAATGCGATTGTACAGCTGCATTTGAGAATGAAATCACCGAAAAGGTTGATATCTTTGCTGAACTTCTTGTTGTTGCTTTTTGTTCTTGTTAATTTCTTCCAAAAGAAATTCGAAATGATAATCGAGCGATAAATTGAAACAACCACTACACGTGGAGTGACGCGTAAAATCCGAAAACGCAGGATTTGTCTAACCATATGGTACTATAATTAAACATAAAATATGAAATGCATAATATACAAACCTCAATTGTGAGGTGTCTGTGGCGCTGAGTGCTGTCAAAAAGCATATTGATGCCGAGCTACTTAGAATGGTGGCCACATTGCAAACCTGACTGATGGAATTCAGTCTGCACCAAAGAAAGGAGGACTAGACACGTCACACTAGTTACTAGTGTCCAATCAAAATACCCAGTACAATCCTACAGGAGGTCAATCGAGAGCCAGTCCAAATAGCAACTCAACGGTAGCGTCTCTGACTGCAGGCGGCACTGGGTGACGCGGGTTCGAATCTCAGAACCAGGGACATGAGTTCCTTCAAGGTGCTTGCAGATACGCCTTGCTGACTGACTGGTGATTGCCAACTAGCACGAAACTTAGGTTAATCAATGCTTCCTGTGGCCGATTGCCTCCAACTATCTAATATCACAGGCAATATGCGTCAACAAGTAAAAAGCGGCAGAGCTGTGTCAAAAGGGGCGACCCACGTATTATTCAAATAGCGCGCGAATACCAGACATAGAATAAAGAGATACGGATAAACAATGTCCAGCAGTAAAGATTATACATACGATGAAAGCATATGCATCAGTAATTATAAGCTTCGATAGTAAATAAAGACGTTGTTAAAATTAACAATGACAACTTGCACTACTTACTACAGATGAGTAGTACGAGTTTTAACACAAAATAAGAAATGACATGGGCAAAGAAGAGAGGAAATATCAGTTTTCTTCTAAAAAGCAAAATTCTATTAATTCCAATGGAAACATATATCACATTTTGAAAGAATCAGGCTTTCACACTTTCTGTCTATAGTCTCGTATTATTAATGTTTTCCAGAGGTGGAAGGAGGGATTGCGGTTGAGGCTATCTGACCAGATTATTCCATCAATCTGGAATGCACTGCTATTGTCGCACCTATCTTCTTTCCCGCCAAATGCAAGGTGATGTTACAGGATTGGACTACACCGACTCCTATATTAGAAATAGGAAGTGAAGTGGTAGAGCACGTTGACCGCTTCAATTACTTGGGAAGTACCATCAGCCAGTGCCAACGGGTTGACCTCTGACAAAATCTCGGCACGGATACAGAGGGCTAGTTTCGCATATGCTAGTCTAGGCCGTCTTTGGCTTAGTAGACGTGATATCCAGTAGGGTATCGACCGAAGGGTGGGTGTACTGTTCAGCAGTCTGCTCCGTCCTCCTTTATGGCTGTGAGACCTGGCCATTGAGAGTGGTAGACATGAAAAGATTAGCTGTCTTTGATCATAGGTGCCTGCGTTCTATCTTCCGTGTGAAGTGGTATAATAAGGTGAGCAATATTGAGGTTAGGCATTGGTCGAGTGCTAGGTAAGGCGAGAGGGGAAATCAATCGACGAGGCTATGAAATTACATCGACTAAGATGGTTAGGACATGTGTTACGTACGCCTAGTCATCGCCTTCCTCGACAATGGGCAATGTTCGCTGACATAGGGTCAGGCTGGAAAAGAGCTAGCGGCAGTCAAACCAAAACATGGCCTCATCAGTCAATGAAATCCACAACACTTACTTAGTTTAAGCCACGTAGGAAGGTGTAGACTTCCTGACTGTTTGGGGTCCTCGAGACGGTAAAAACCAATGGTTGGAAACAATTGGTGACATGGCTCGAAATCGTTCTCAATGGCTTGTGCAGATGCATCCACTCCTTGTGACTTATGATTTCCAATGAAATTGTTTTGTTCTTCGTTATTACTATTCCTCTGTCTCACACCTCTGTTTACAGCCTCTACTAAGCATTTCTTCTCTTGCTTTGTGTGCTACAAGGAGGCAGTGTGGCGACTTGAACTTCCGCACATCAGTGCAAAGTTCTATGTCGAAAACAGACAGGCGTATCTTCTTCAAAAAGAAATTAGGTAATATACATATAACCAGTTTTCACCACTGTTACTAACCAACAGTGGGGTTGGACAGTGTTCACCCAATCTTTCTATTTCTCTTTAACTTTACCATCAATGATATTATTGCAAGTGTGCTCAAGGCTGTGCTTGACGGTGATGTAGGTCTTCCGTTTGAAGAATGACTTTTTGACTTCGAGTAGGCGATAATACGCAAGCTGCCCAAAATTTCACTTAATCAGTCGGTAAAGTATAGTTGCAGGGTTGGTAGGAGCCTGTACCTGCAATCACTCACCTTTGCAGGTGAACCGCTGGAATTTGTTAACAAGTTCTTGTAGCTATGTGAGTGCTGGCGAAGGCGTGACACAGATGAGATCTCTAACTGCATAGTGAAAGCTACTGTGACATATGTTGCCAGCTTAGGTCACCACTGGCGAGACATCTCGACATCAACCTGGCTTCCAGAAGTCAGGTTTATAATAACTCAGTGCTCGCGGTCTTACTCTACGCCTGTGAAACTTGCCTCCTTTTTCCCTTGTAGAGTTTGTATGATGAATGACAGATGTTTGCCCTGACAGTCTTCAGTCATTTTAGCTCACTCGAGATATGGCTCATTGACTTGACCACTCGTCTTCTAACTAATCGGATCTTGGGTTTGAACTCCATCTGTTTCAGCTTTGAAGCAACTGGATAACGACGTTTGCCTCCCACCCACCCAATCAAGTATGTCGTCTCATAGCCGCCATCTGATACAAGTTCCTTAAAATTAATCTCCACACACACCAAAAACCACTCACTAATGACTGACTATAGAATCGAGTTCTGGTGAGGAGACAGTCGTCACCAGTAGGGTCTGCCCGACAAGTAAAGACAGATACACTCGCCGATGACATTGGCCATTGCGATATATGTGTACATCATGAAATGGTAGAACTTAGAATTCACGGATCTCACCTCGTCATAACCTGTAGCTTATCCGTGCGTATTGACGAAGAGTTGACCAAACTAGGACAACAAAACAACTAACCAGTACTCCCTGATTCCCTAAGTGATATGTCAACTTCAAAGGAGATCTAATCAATAATGTCCTTAAAAGAAGAATTTCCACTTGTTTAAGAAGAACTTTCTCCGCAACAACACTGAGAGTAGTGTTCTCCAGTCGCCTGCTAATCTACAGAAGCCTGAATGAAAAGATACCGCATCTAACCACTTCTATGTATAGATATATATATATATATATATCAGTTCACCTGTTACTGTGCAGTCAGATGCATCGGTCTTCCGACGCTAATCCCGTTAAAAATGATCAAAGAACACAATCTAGTGTGTCTCCAAAAAAGAAGTAGTGTCTGTATAAGACGTGCAATAATCGGACATCTCGTCACCACTGGTGTTTCCATCTCAACAAATGCCTACGCCTTCAAAGTAATCTACAAAGTGAAGAACAACCTGACAAAGACAATACGTTTCCATCTTCTTTGCATTGCAGAAGCCCTAGCCATTCAGTTGGAAGAACCAGAACTATGCACACCACAGAAAATTATTCAGCCACTTCTACTATCATGGTAACAACTCCGTTGATTTTTGATGACTTAATTCTGTTTGTTTGCCAGTTTCTTTAATTGCCTATAATTCTTGTATTCATTTAGAACTCTTACACAATTTCGCATTCTCTACTTTGTTCCTATGTGTATCCTGAGTAAAACTCAATCATCAAACTATTCATATTATTACTTAACTTCTTTTTAACAATCGTTTGTGACAACTCATCACTTTTGTTACTACCCTCTTATATCAACATCCGATTCCTCCGAACACTTTTTGTATGACGTAACTCCACCAAAAACTTACTAATTGTATTTCCGTTTGACAAATTTAATGTACACACACACATACAAAACAACCATTTTTATAATTGGGTGTCTATCTCCAGGAAAAGGAACCTAATTCATTCACTCTGCTTTAGGATAAGAAACATTTTTACTTCTGATTGCCTTGACTCAGAACTTGACTTCCTAAAAAACCACTATCGCAGAAAATGGTTACTCGAACGGATTTATTGACTGTAACACGGAAGATTAGCAGTCTAAACTGGTCATCGATTCAGTTCCAAAGAAAACCTTATTCATGAACTTGGAATTCAAAGGTGATCAAGCTTCAGATACGCTGAAAAACCATCTCTCTCTAAAGCAGGCAGTAAGACGTTCTTTGCAGCAAAATAACAAATGACGTTCACCAGCCGCAAGTTGTTCTCTACCTCTGTAAAAGATAAGCTCCCCCGTCTAGTCGTCCCCGTGTGCATCTATCAGTTCGCCTGCTCTTGTGGAGCAAGGTACATTGGCCGTAAGCAGACGATGCTTTCCACACGGATACGAGAACATATTCCAGCAGCATGGTTTTACAAGAGAAAAAGGAAGTGTGTGAGAAGCTCTATTCTAGAACACCTGATCGACTCCTGTCACTCTGTTAACCCTGACCATGATTTTAAGATCATATTTGGAATCCATACTCACTTGCCGCGTTTTCTTTATTACAGACTTCTAAAGACAGCTGAGGCCTTGGTAATTCATGACTTTCAGCCAGACCGTAGTGTACAAAAGAAGTACGTACAATCCCTACTTCTGCCTTGGCCGTAGAGGGATAGACATTTTTTTATTTTGTTTATTTAGTTATTTGATGTACCTTTCCCTCATCACTCCGAACTGTTTCCACCTGTCATTCTAAATCCTATTTTTTTATTTTTTTGTCTTTACGATATAGAGTTCTATCTTATCAAATTCCACACCATGTTATGTAACATTTTATATTCGCCCACTAATCTTATAATTATGTACCCCTTTCCAACATCTATACACCTTATGTATCATTAATTAATTTTGCCACTTGACATTAAACTATGATTATAATCACAAATATTTTAACTGCATCGCATACTTCTATTATTATTTCATATATTCATACCTTTGATCTAATTCCCTCACCGGATATAATTTCCTAAAAAACCATATATACAGCTTGATAATAGATACGCTGCTGAAAAGAGTCTTTTCGCTGAAGTGTGCCCTATATATATACATTTGTGATTGTACAGCTGAGTGATGAATGAATTCGTCGCCGGAAAGAGACTCTTCGCTGAACTATACTGAACTTCACTTGGTGGATGGTGACTAGCAATGGAATTCAGGATGCGCATTTCGCCCTATTTAAATAATTAATGTGACCCGCTGCACAAGAGGTGGCCTAGTGAATAACGCTTTGGCGTTTGAAACTGTGTGTACTGGGTTCGAGCCTCGGTGGGAACATCATCACTTACTCACTGGGGAATGCAGGTACATCCAGTGGTTGATGAGTCCCAAATGGGACGAAATGCGCATCCTGGCTGGATTCTACTGCTAGTCACCATCCACAAATTAAATTCTAATTACACATGCCCAGACATCGTCAAAGCATCTGCACAAGAAGCCGACAAACATGTCAACCTGAGACCGAGCAATCGATGGGAAAATTTTAAAATTCAATTAAATACAGAACGTCTTTCCATTATTAATATGTCAGTTAGTTTATGATCCAGTTGTGAAATGATTATCAGGAGAAAAAATAGTCGAGATTTGAAAGACAATCGTGTTTATTCACTTCCACTTTCGTGTTATACCACTGAATTTTTTACAAATAAAGAAAACATACGAAAAAACCAAACAAACAAGTAAGTGATCAGTGTTAAGTATATATATTCTCTCTCCACAAAGAAATAATCAAGAGAACCGAGAGAGTGAACATAGACGCACTCACGCATGCACACACATACACACATACTGGACGTCATCAGCTGTTATTCTTGGCACTGGATACCAATTTCGAATAAACAGCGTCATTATTTTTGTTTTGGAAATTGTGTATGTGTGTTGCTTCGGAAAATGATGGTGATGATGATCTTGTTGCTGTTGTTGTAAGTGAAGAGAGGGATGATTAGAGGGTTGAGTGATACTCAGTCAAACAGACACACACACGCACCAACTATTATTGGATGGTGTGTCTGAATTTTGTGAGAGTCTATGTTTCCCAGGAAAAGTTAACGTCATCCTCCACGTGAACAGAATCTTGAAGTTGGCCGATAGGTTGTCCCTGAATCTCCAGCTAACGGATTATAATCTGTAGGAAAGAAATCATAATAATAATAATAATAATAGTGTTTTATTCATTGAGGGCTAAAGATACTACCACTAACCGTCTAAACCACATTAAGTGTCGCGGGGTTAAAACCCATAACTCACTACCATTCGGAAGCCGAGCAACATTAGGTTTGATGTCCATGGGCGAATTTGTACTGCCAGTAAGATCCTTAATACGAGCGCAACTCCAGAAACCATTTTAAACAGACCGTGGTGTATAACCGCCAGCCCATGAATCCCAACTTCTGCAAATTCACGCACGACCACTAGCCAATGTATTTGACCTTAAATCCGACCTGCTGTAACCCCATTGGTCACGACTTCCCACCAGAACTCCGGGCAACTACCTACTTAGCTGAATAGGACTAGTCGCTGGTGAGCACATCAAGATTGATATTCAAAAGGGTTAGTTTGCAAAGATTTGAGATTTCTTTGAATGCAGGATTTCATCATCATGAGCTGACAGCGGTTAGAGAACCAACACTAGAATCTTATCTCCTTTTCATAGAGGGTGGAACACTAAGTAGAAGTGTGTGTGTGTGTGTGAGGCTGAGCTGAAATTTTTAGCCATCAGCTTATATACTACTATTGTACTATACTACTATTGAAGATTCCTGGACAACACCACCAACAGAAACAACAATCAGCATAAATGGAAGGAACCTGAAAGAAACAACCTCCTTCACCTACCGACCTACCTGGGAAGCATCGTTTCAACTACACGCGGGTGGAACTGACAGGGATATCAAAGCAAGAATCGGAAAAGCAAGACAAGCTTTCACTACTCTCAAGTCTGTGTGGAGATCAACAGCACTCAGCATGAAAATGGGAATAACATCCGGATTTTCAACTCCAATGTGAAGTCAGTGCAACTCACTATACGGATCAGAGACTTGCACTTCGCGTCATAAAGAGCATCTCAAACAAACTACACACCTTCATTAACAGTTGTCTTCGCTCAATACTTCACTCAAGATCAGATGGCCAGCCGGCCAGAAAAGATCAGCAACAGAGATCTCTGAGAGCGACTCAAACTACCAGAAACCGATTGTGAAACAAATAGGCAGGAAGAAATGGATTGGCTGGCCATACTCTGAGGAAACAAACCATCAAGTGACATCACTAGACAAGCCATCGCTCGAGTGGAACCCGAAAGGCAAGCGGTGAGTTGGTCGTCAGTGCGAGGGTGACTTGGAGGAGGTGATGTGAAGAGGAGATGAAAAACGTGTGGGCAGACTTGGAGCCACGTGAAGACTCTATCAGAGAACAGAACGCAATGGAGACGCACGGCTGAAGCCCTATGTTCCTCTAGGAATTGAAGGAAACAATAATAATAATACTACCTTTCAAGATCTGATGAAATGAAAATTCTGATTTTCATGAGAAATCAATTAGCCAACAACTTACCATTCGGTCGTAATCGTTTCTTCTTATCATCGTCAGTCTGTTAAATAAAAGAAGAGAGAATAAAAAACAATATAAATACAGATATCAAATGAGTAAAACATGGTGGCATATATATACTACTGACGCGTTGATATGAGTAGTAGGTAAACAGTCTAGTCAGCCGATAGTTAAAATAGCCAGATCAAAATGTTTCTTTTCAGTGATTTCATTCTCAAAAGCACCTGTACAATCACATCTAATACAATACACAAGTTTACATAGATACAATTTTCTATAGTTGGTTTGTATAGATACAGAACTCCGACCAGAACAAGCTGGATTCAGGAAACGCAAATCATGTTCTGACCAAATTGCAACTCTACGCATCATCATCACAGAACAAAGCATGGAATGGCAATCAAACCTCTACCTCAACTTTATAGACTTTGAGAAGGCCTCCGAAAGGGAAGCGACCAGTGGGACGTCGAAGTGTGACATGGAGGAGATCGTGTGAAGAGGAGTTGAAACAGTATGGAGTAACATGGATGCAGGTGAAAAGTACAGCAGAAGACAGAAGGAAGTGGATACGTGCAGTTGAAGCCCTATGTTCCACTAGGAACCCAAGGGAACAATAATAATAATAATGGATCAGTTTTGTTTTTTACGAGTTGATCACGGATTGATATCAGTTAGAGAACCATTGAAAACCAACACTGGAGTACTGGACAGCTGTTTCATCCTAGTTTGGGAATCGTCGGCAGTACGCACCCTTTGGGGTTCGTACCCCGGACCTTCCGATTGCAAGTCAAGCTCGTATACCATTCAACCACTGTGACCTGATCCAGTGACCGGCTCATGAATCTTAACTTCTACCAATTCGTGATTTGCAGCAACTACCAACCCTTACAGCATCCGAATGATAGTGTCATATCCCACTGTGTTTACCTGTTTAAATTGTATGTGTGAACACACGTACATAGGGAGGACCCATATCAGTGGCTGCAACAGCAAATAAAATCACCGGAGACAATTGATCTCGGAAATAGATGTGTCCAACATCATCTATCGTGAAGCACACCATAATAGAGACGGGTCGGTTTCAGTAAAACAAGGTTGGTTCACAATCTTAAATTCTTTGAAGCCTTGGCCATAAAATGACTTAAACTTGTCTGTCTTATGTGTCCAGAGATGTTTTGTTATCACCTTAAACCTGCTTTGGTAATCCATTTTAGAACCAAGGCTCAATTTGCTTCATAATATTTTTTTAACCACATCTTTGTTTTTAGTTTCTTTTTCTTCCTTTCTTACCCACACCTTCACGTCATCTCCTTACCCATTATTTGTGACCTTAACCAGTAAGTACACAGTCCAACCTGTATTGTAATGATTCATGCCTTCTTGCCTTCTACATGACTGTGTGTATGACAAGTACTTGTGTGAGTGATCAGAATGTTGTCCGAAATGTGTTGCACAAATACATCTGCATTACACGTTTCATTCAGATAAACGACGTCTTCTTATGTTGTGTGTTGGCTTCCTGATGATTGCCTCCAACTATCTAATATCATTAAATCAATGTGTGCACCATGATGACGAGCTACCTAGATTGGTGGCCACATTACAAACCTGACTGACTGACTAACTGATGGAATTCAGTCTGCACCAAAGAAAGGAGGACTAGACACGTCACACCAGTTACTAGTGTCCAATGGGAAGTAATTGCTTTAAAGAAATAAAGACCACCTTAGCTTGCTATTTTTCTAACCAGTCCCAAGCCCAGATAATGAGGGAGGGTTGGGCGTGGGCGTGGGGACATCAACCCCACACCACCAAACCTATCAAACCGCTACAGAAACTTCAACACACAGAAAATATATTAAAAATACAAAAACTTCAATCAACAGCAGTCTTATTCTTCGCTCGAATCGGAGGGGCGAAATGATGCGGGCTAGTGAAAGCCAGCCTTCAGGAAGCCAGTCAGCCAATGTATCTGCTCAGGTGGTCAAAGAAATGTGAAGATACGGCATACAAGTGCTGGATATCTGCGAGAGCAAATGGAATGGATATGGACTGTCAAAATTGTCAACTGGAGAGTCAGTAATCTACTCCGGTCTGGTCATCCAGACGACAACCACGAGCACACTGAGGCAGTGAGTGGTTATCATGATGTCACCAGTGGCTGCCAGAGCCCTAATTCAGTGGGAACCAACCTTCTCCTGCAGGATCATGACAGCAAGATTCAAACTCAAAAGGAGGGAAAGCAGGTTACAATTATCCAATGCTACGCACAAAGCTACAAACAACGCGGAACAAGAAAAGAAGAAAGATTTCTACAGACAACTACAAACAGTAATGGACAACATCGCGAAAGGTGACATCAAAAACCTCATGGGCGATATGAATACCAGGCGAACTGGAAGCAGATAATACAGGAAGAGAACTCATCATGAGTTAAGAAGCTTCTGAATCCCAAAGGAACAATAATAAGATATAATAGTAAGTATACGGGGCTCAACTTACAGATTTTTGTGAAGTTCCATTACTCGTCATGTATTTAGCTAATTTTTCTGCTTTTTCTCTTGCTTTAATTTCATCTTCCTCTTGTTTCTTAGATTTGTATTGAGCAATTTGAGCATTGAGTTCTTCTTGGAGTTTAGCTCTTGCATTTTCCATAGCTTTACGATGCGCATCATTCTGTGCTGACGACTGATGTACCGTAGAATGTGTACTTTGAGAATGGAAAAATTTCCACAGGAAATAGGATATGACAAAGACAAGAAGAGCTATCAAAGCATAGTTGAAATTTGTCTTTGAGGTAACTAAAATTTTAGAAAAGAGTTGTTTTTTTTCTGTCTACTTACTTTGTGGGACACCAGCAGCAGCGGCAGCAGAAGTAAACTCTTCTTCCAGTTCAATCTCTGCATCCATCCCACCTAACTGTGCGATTATCCCCAAACAATTTGTAATAATGTAATGTGTACTGACGAATATATATATATATATATCTAAAAAAAAATTAATTAAGAGAAGGTTATGGTGTAGATTTTGAATGTGTTATTATGATGAATAAAATAAGAGAAGAAATAATACGCATTTATATCGCATATTTTAATATGAATGTTAGGCGTAGGTGTGTCGGTGGCACAGTGGCGTAGGCGTGACATCCGGCTATCAACCAAGAGACGTGTGTACTGCTCAACAGTCCGCTCCGTCCTTCTCTATGGCGGTGAGACGTGGCCATTGAGAGCGGAAGACATGAAGAGATTGTCTGTTTTTGACCACAGATGTTTACGATCTCTTTCTCGCGTTAGGTGGTACAATAAGGTAAGTAATGTTGACGTTAGGCGTAGAGTGTTGGGCGGTCGGTCGGTCGGTTTTCGACATAAAACTTTGCACATATGTGCGGCAGTTCAAGTCGCCACACTCCATGTAGCACACAAAGCAAGAGAAGAAAGTAGAAGAAATGCATAATATAGACAGTAAACAGAGGTGTGAGACAAAGGAATAGTAATAACGAAGAACAAAACAGTTTCATTTGAGATCATAAGTCACAAGGAGTGGATGCATCTGCACCAGCCATTGACAACGATTTTGAGCCATGTCACCAATTGTTTCCAACCATTGGTTTTTACCATCCCGAGGGCCCCAACCAGGAAGTCTACATCTTCCTACGTGGCTTAGATTAACTGTTGTGGATTTCATTCATTGGTGCCATGTTTTGGTTTGACCACCGCTAGCTCTTTTCCAGCCTGGCCCTATATCAGCTAACATTGCCCGTCGAGGAAGGCGATGACTAGGCATACGTAGCACATGTCCCAACCATCTCAGTCGATGTAATTTCACAGTCTCGTCGACTGATTTCCCCGCCTTACCTAGCACTCGACGCCTAACCTCAATATTGCTCACCTTATTATACCACTTCACACGGGAGATAGAGCGCAGGCACCTATGATCGAAGACAGCTAATCTTTTCATGTCTTCCGCTCTCAATGGCCAGGTCTCGCATCCAGTCATAAAGGAGGATGGAGCGGATTGCTGAGCAGTACACACGCCCTTTGGTCGATAGTCGGATATCGCGTCTACGCCAGAGACGGCGAAAACTGGCGAATGCGAACCTAGCCCTCTGTATTCGTGCTGAAATTTCGTCTGAGATCAACCCGTTGGGGCTGATGGTACTTCCCAAGTAATTGAAGCGGTCAACGTGTTCTACCACTTCACTTCCTATTTCTAATCTAGGGGTCGATGAAGTCCAATCCTGCAGCATCATTTTACATTTAACAGAGGCGAGTTGCATGCCAAACATACGGAGATTGTTGCTCAGGGTGTTCAGTAGACTCTGCATTTTGTCAGAGTCCTCGCCTAGAAGGACTATATCGTCCGCATATTCTAAGTCAACGAGATTATTCCCTGGTAGCAAGTCAATCCCTGAGTCTCTGAAGTGTGATAGGGTTAAGTCCATTAGTACGTCTATGATGAAAGTGAATAGGAATGGGGATAATGGGCATCCTTGACGGACGCCACTAGTCGTCACCACTTCAGATGACAACTCACCATAGGCCCTCACCTGGCTGCATGAGCACGAGTAGAGTGCCTTAATAAGTGCAATGTATTTTCTCGACATTCCCTTTACAGCCAAGCATCACCAGAGAACCTCTCGGTCGACAGAATCGAATGCCGCCTTTAGGTCAAGAAATATAGTGATTGTCGGACGCCGGTAGGAATGCCTATGTTCTAGAATCTGTCGAAGGGTGAAGATATGATCAATACACCCTCTTCCTGGCCTAAAACCTGCCTGGTTTTCTCGTGTTTGTGCCTTTGAGTGTTGGGCAAAGAGGGAATATCAATCGAAGAGGCTATAAAGTTCAATAGATTGAGATGGCTAGGTCACGTGCTGAGCATGCCTAGCCATCGCCTCCCCCACCCCGACGGGCATTACTAGCTGATATAGGTGCAGGTTGGTTGGAAAATAGTAAGTGGTGCCATGCCAAACAAAAACATGGCCTCATCAATCCATGAAATCCTTGACAGTTAAACTCAGTCAGGTAGGGAGGGAGATGCAGACTTCCGGGTTGGGGCCCGCCCTCGGCACTCTAACAATCAATGGCTGGAGACAATAGGTGACATGGCTCAAAATCGTTGTCAATGGCTTATGCAGATGTATTCAGTCTCTGTAATCTTTCATATTCCTTCCTACTATTACTCATTCTGTTTCACTCTTATACTTGTCAAAACTCTATTGATTCCCTTACTCATTTTCTTGTCTACCTTTGTGTGCTATTTGGAATGTGGCAACTGGAACTGCTGCACTTCGGTGCCAAGTTCTATGTTGAACCCAGCCAGCCAGCCAGCACAGTGGGATAGTGATGCTCACCAACCACACCTCCTCATGTTGTCCGGCGTTCAATCTCCGGCGACAGACCAACTCCAAAATCCTCGTTAAGCCAGTAATAAGACAGCTGGTTGGGCATGAGGCTGACTAGCACAACCCCATCCCGTAAAAGCAATACACACCACCTGCTACCGAAACTTTAAGCCTCTAGTCCGAAGCCCTCTATGTTCCACTGAGAAAGGAAAGGAATAAAAAAAAATTTCAAAAGTTAGGCGTAGGTGGTAAGAAAAGGAAGTCAGTCGATCACAGTGTAATGCTATATCGATTGAGATGGCCAAGACATGCGTAAAGTTAAACTTTATGCACCACTAATTACCAATCACCGAATTCTACATATTATTACATATATATATTACATATAATATGGAGCAAATCGGATGCCAAAATTAGAAGATTGCAGCTCAAGGTGTTTGGAAGCCTCTAATCTATTTTAATGTATGTGTAAAAATTGGGCACCGTGGTAGTAAGTAATTCCATATTAGTTTGTTTATTAGGTATATCACACAGTGAAACAGTATTATTTACTGGATGACGTTTCGAACAAAATTTATTGTTCATAATCATATCAACTGTAATCACACGACTTCGAAAATTGAGTTTCATAGTTTTCTTTGTTCTCTCCTATTTGTCGTATGGGTAGTAGAATTTTCCAGATATCGGGGACAGGTGATGAATCATTCCTATTGCATGTATTTGTAGTTGATTCGATAAACAAAGCTTCTGTTATCAATCTCTCCCTATACTGTCATCCTATCTCATCCTATTGTATGGTTGTGTGTGACTGCATGTAGTGCTATAGCTGAACTACTCTCTAGATTTCTTATCTTATTCGGGTCAACCAATCTAGATTTCGCTAAGTTTTTATGTTCAGCTAGTCTGACTGCCCCTGTTCAACAAGTTTGACCTATGCATTTGAACTGACAATCATTGCAGGTGGGTATTAGATAAATTAAATTGTTTTGTATTAAAGGCTCTACAGGATCCTTTAACCGACAAGGCTTGTTTCTAATTGAGTTTGTGGGTTTGAATGCCGTTTTTATTCCTGCGTAAGGTTGTTTCCGGGGTTCCTTCCTTGTGTGGAACATCCTTGAACACATCAACTCGAAGGTTGAAGCAATTCAATTCACTCATGAATTGGAAAATCAGGAAGGAGAGCTCCCAATGTTAGATCGCAACGTAAAAATGAAAGAAGATGGGAAGTTAAACACTAGTGTTTACCGGAAACCCACACACTCAAACAGATATTTGGACTTCCGATCATCCCATCCTATGTCAGTTAAAATAGGATTGGTAAAGTGTTTAAATGACAGAGCACAAAAATTAAGTAGTACCAAAGAAAATCTAAAACAAGAACTGATACATATAAAAGAAGCCTTGAAACTTAATAACTACCCGGATAAATTAATCAAGAAATATGTAAGGAAATGTAAAAATAAAATAAATAATGATAGTAGCGATAGTGATAATAACAATAATAATGATAATGATAATAGGGATAATAATAATAATATCAGTTACGACACCAACAATAAAGAATCTAAATCATCAGTAGTAATTCCATACAAGGAAGAAACCTAAAAACACCTTACACAGAATTCTTAACAAGGCAGGAATAAAAATGGCATTCAAACCAACCACAAACTCAATTACAAACAAACTTTGTCGGTTAAAAGATCTTGCAGAGCCTTTAATACAAAACAATTTAATTTATCTAATACCCACCTGCAATGATTGTCAGTTCAAATGCATAGGTCAAACTTGTTGAACAGGGGCAGTCAGACTAGCTGAACATAAAAACTTAGCGAAATCTAGATTGGTTGACCCGAATAAGATAAGAAATCTAGAGAGTAGTTCAGCTATAGCACTACATGCAGTCACACACAACCATACAATAGGATGGGCGGGGTAATATGACAGTTTTAAAATCTAATGTCACAGGGTATAGGGAGAGATTGATAACAGAAGCTTTGTTTATCGAATCAACTACAAATACATGCAATAGGAATGATTCATCACCTGTCCCCGATATCTGGAAAATTCTACTACCCATACGACAAATAGGAGAGAACAAAGAAAACTATGAAACTCAATTTTCGAAGTCGTGTGATTACAGTTGATATGATTATGAACAATAAATTTTGTTCGAAACGTCATCCAGTAAATAATACTGTTTCACTGTGTGATATACCTAATAAACAAACTAATATGGAATTCTAATCTATTTTATCAGTGTCTTCACCCGAAGTCACTGAATTCAGTTAGGCTCAATTCCATTGGGACGTATATGATGAAGTTAAACATGTGGAGAAAATGTATTGTGACATGGAAGACGAAGGATATGAAATTAACAAATCTGAGACAAATCGCATAGGGTCGTTATAACCATGAGATCTTGTAGTTATGAAAACTTCAGTCAAGTAGATGGAAACTGATTTTATTCACTTCTCCGCCACCCCCACTCCACCCTTACAACTAACCACTCGTGAGGAAATTACTTTAAAATTAGAAAATTATGGTTGACTAGCCGAATGAATTTTTA